CAAATTAGAGTCCTGGGCTGGATGGCTTCCCAGGGGAATTCTACCAGCCATTTAAAGCAGAGTTCATACCTATCTTTCTCAAGCTGTTCCAAAAAACAGAAACGAAAGCGGACTCATTTTATGAAGCCAGCATTACCTTTGTTCCCAAACCAGACAGAAACCCAGCAAAAAAAAAAAAAAGAATTATAGGCCAATGTCCCTGATGAACATGGATACAAAAATTCTCAACAAGATACTAGCAAATTGAATTCAACAGCATATAAAAAGAATTATTCACTATGATCAAGTGAGATTCATTCCTGGGCTGCAGGGCTGGTTCAGTATTCACAAATCAATCAATGTGATACATCACATTAATAAAAGAAAAGATAAAAACCACATGATCCTGTCAATAGATGCAGAAAAAGCATTTGACAAAATAACAGCATCCTTTCTTAATAAAGCCCTCAAGAAAGTCGGGATAGAAGGAACATACCTAAACATCATAAAAGCAATATATGAAAAGCCCACAGCTAATATCCTCAATGGGGAAAAACTGAGAGCTTTCCCCTGAGATCAGGAACACGACAGGAATGTCCACTCTCATGACTGTTGTTTAACATAGTGTTGGAAGACCTGGCATCAGCAGTCAGACAGCAAAATGAAATAAAAGGCATCAAAATTGGCAAAGAAGTCAGACTTTCACTTTTTGCAGATGACATGATACTCTACATGAAAAACCTGAAAGACTCTATCAAAAAGCTGCTAGAACTGAAACATTAATCCAGCAAAGTCACAGGATACAAAATCAATGTACAGAAGTTGGTTGCACTTCTATACACCAATAATGAAGCAACAGAAAGAGAAAAAAAAAAGACGTCGATTCCAATTACAGTTGCACCAAGAACCATAAAATACCTAGCAATAAACCTAACCAAAGATGTAAAAGACCTGTATGCTGAAAACTACAGAAAACTTACGAAGGAAATTGAAGAAGACACAAAGAAATGGAAAAACATTCCATGCTCATGGATTGGAAGAATAATATTGTTAAAATGTCATTACCACCCAAAGCAATCTACATATTCAATGCAATCCCAAGCAAAATTGCACTAGCATTCTTCTCAAAGTTAGAAAAAACTATCCTAAAATTTGTATGAAACCACAAAAGACCTGGAATAACGAAAGTAATGTTGAAAAAGGAAACTAAAGCAGGAGGCCTCACAATCCCAGACTTTAGCCTCTATTACAAAGCTGTAATCATCAAGACAGTATGGTATTGGCCCCAAAACAGACACACAGACCAATGAAATAGAATACATAACCCAGAATTGGACCCACAAATGCATGGCCAACTAATCTTTGACAAAGCTAGAAAGAGTATCCAATGGAAAAACAGTCTCTTTAGCAAATGGTGCTGGGAGAACTGGGCAGCAACATGCAGAAGAATGAAACTAGATACCTTTGCTACACCATAAACAAAAATAAACCCAAAATGGATGAAAGACCTGAATGTGAGACAGGAAACCATCAAAGCCCTAGAGGAGAAAACAAGAAACAACCTCTTTGACTTCAGCCACAGCAATTTCTTGGTCAACACGTCTCTAAAGGCAATGGAATTAAAAGCAAAAATGAATTATTGGGACCTCATCAAGATAAAAAGCTTCTGCACTACAAAGGAAACAGTCAATAAAACTAAAAGGCAAGTGACGGAATGGGAAAAGATATTTGCAAATGACAGATAAAGGGTTAGCATCCAAAGTCTATAAAGAACTTACCAAACTCAACACCCAAAAAACAAATAATCCAGTGAAGAAATGGGCAGAAGACATGAATAGACAGTATTCCAGAGAAGACATCCAGATGCCCAACAGACACATGAAAAGATGCTCAACGTAACTCATCATCAGGGAAAGACAAATCAAAACCAAACTGAGATACCACCTCATACCTGTCAGAGTGGCTAAAATTAACAAATCAGAAACCACAGATGCTGGTGCGGATGTGGAGAAACGGGAGCCCTCTTGCACTGTTGGTGGGATGCAAACTGGTGCAGCTGCTCTGGAAAACAGTGTGGAGGTTCCTCAAAAAATTAAAAATAGAATTACCCTATAGCCCAGCAATAGTACTACTAGGAATTTATCCAAGGGATACAGGAATGCTGATTCATGGGGGCACATGTACCCCAATGTTTATAGCAGCGCTTTCAAGAATAGCTAAATTATGGAAAGAACCTAAATGTCTGTCAACTGATGAATGGATAAAGGTGTGGTTTATATATACAATGGAATACTATGTGGCAATGAGAAAGAATGAAATCCTGCCATTTGCAGCAACGTAGATGGAACGTTTATGCTAAGTGAAATAAGTCAGAGAAAGGCAGATATCATATGTTTTCATTCATATGTGAATCTTTAGAAAATTAACAGAAGACCATGGAGGAAGAGAAGGGTAAAAAAAATAGTTACAAACAGAGAGGGAGGGAGGCAAACCATAAGAGACTCTTAAATACAGAGAACAAACTGAGGGTTGATGGGGGGGTGGGGTAGAGGGGAAAATGAGTGATGGGCATTGAGGAGGGCAGTTGGGATGAGCACTGGATGTTGTATGTAAGTGATGAATCACGGGAATCTGCCCACAAAAGCAAGAGCACACTGTACACACTGTATGTTAGCCAATTTGACAACAAATTATATTTAAAAAATAATAATAAAGAATTTCAGGTTGTAAATAAAAAGTATACAATAGTGGATGCAAAGCTATAGTAAATATAATATGGTATTAGCAAAAAAAGACATTTCATTGGAATAAACTAGAGTTGAGAAATAGACCCATTCATATATGGTCAATTGATTTTCAACCAAAGCATCAAGTAAATTCAGTGAGGAAAATGATAGTCTTTTCATTAAAAGATGCCACAATAATTGGATATCCATATGGGAAAAAAATAATAAACCTCAATTCCTATATTACCTCATACTCCAAAAAGTTTTTGAAGGTGGGTCATATACCTAAATGGAAAGGCTAAAACTATAAAACTTTTAACTTTTTTTAATGTTTGTTTATTTTTGAGAGAGAGACAGCTCAAGCCGGGGAGGGACAGAAAGAGAGGGAGACAGAATCCAAAGCAGGCTCCAGGCTCCAAGCTGTCCGAACAGAGCCCTATGCAGGGCTCGAACTTGCAAACTGTGAGATCATGATCTGAGCCAAAATCGGATGCTTAGTGACTAAGCCACCCTGGCACCCGAAACTATAAAACTTTTAGAAGAAAACTTAGGAAGATTTCTTCACAACCTGGGGATAGGTAAATATTTTATAGGATAAATAAATAATACCACAAAAGAAAAAATTGGCTAGCTCTACTTCCGCAAAATTAAAAACTTATTAGACTACACAATTAAGGAAATGATCAAGGAAGCCACAAACTGGGTGATGGTATCATAAAACATTTATCTGACAAAGGATTTGTATCCAGAATATATAATGATACATTAAAAGCTCCTCTAAGTCTATAATAAAAACAATGCAATGAAAAAAATGGATATAAGACTGGAGCAGAGAAATTTTTACAAAGAAATGTACAAAAGGCTAGTAAACATACAAAAAATTGTACAATGTTATTAGTCATGAGAAAGATGCAAATTAAAACTGTAAAGAGATACATACCAAATACACTTAGAGGAATGACAAAAATTAAAAATCTAAAGGTTCCAAATATTGGCTAGGACATGGAGCAGCTAGAACTCTTACTTTTAAATATTCTATGGGTCACAGAGAAAATTTTAAAGAACATTTTTTTTTTTTTAATATCCAGAAGTTAATGAAAATACAGTGTATCAAATTTTGAAGGATGAAGCTAAAGCAGTGCTGAGAGAGAAATTTATAGCACTTGTATTAATGTTCTCCGGAGAAACAGAACCAGTAGGAATATACGTAGATGTATGTAAGAGATTTATTATAGGAGTTGGCTCATGTGGTTGTGAAGGCCACAAAATCCCACAGTCTGCAGTCTGCAAACTGGAGAAACAGGAAAGCCGATGGTATGATGCAGTCAGTATCCAAAGGCCTGAGGATGGCCCCTGATACGAACCTGGAGCTCTGACATCCCAACTTAAGAAAAGAAAAAAATTCGTCCTTTGCCTTTTTTATTTCATTTGGGCCCTCAGTTATGATACCCACCTACGTTGGTAAGGGCATATGTCTGTACTGAGACTTTTATCAAATACTAATCTCTGGAAGATATAGTATTTATAGTATCAAATAGTAGTATCAAATACTAATCTCTGGAAGAGATAAATACCCTCACAGACACACCCCAAAGTAATGTTTTACCAGGTGTCATCTCTTAGCCCAGTCAAATTTAGATTAACCATCACAGCACTAGATAGTTAACATTAGTACAGAAACTGAAATTAGTGCTGATTAAAGAATCAAAGATGTGATATTAAGCTTGCTTTGTGAAATATTGTAATGTCAATCTTGCCTGGAGAAAACAGGGATTCTAAAGTTAATTCCTGACTTATGTGATTTTTGTAAGTTTACAGGATAATTTTTATTTAGGCTTTGGTCTTAATCCTTAAAAAGGGTGTGATCTCCTCCCAGAGGTTTTACGAAGATTTGACAAGCTAGTGGATGTGACAAAGTTTTATAAAACTTTTAATGCTATATAAATGTTAGTTATATTTATACTTAACACTAGATGCTAAAAATGTAAAAAATCTTAGAATAGCTACTTATGGTGAGAGTAATTGGCCAAAACTGTCATTTACTGTAAGCATTTTGAACAGTAATATAACCAATTCAAATAGGCTTATAATCTTCTGTATTAGCTATTTTATCCCTTGGTAAACAGATTCTATTGAATGGTCATTTCTTAAAATACAAAGATTGTTTCCTTTAAATAGCTACATGATATCTTATATATTTTTATATTTTATTTAATACCAGTATAAAATTTTCAGGCATTTGAATATAGTAACACATAATTGATATGTTTCATATGCTTTTTTTTCTCATTCCAGGTCAATGAATACATTTTTGATAATTTATCTAATAATCCTTATTTCTGAAGCCATCATCAGTACTATCTTGAAATATACATGGCAAGCTGAAGAAAAATGGGATGAACCTTGGTATAACCAAAAAACAGAACATCAAAGAAATAGTAGTAAGGTATTTTATGGTGTTCTTGACTCTGCTATAAAGGAAACTATTCTTTGGCACAGTTGATGATTTGGTAGTGACTTCTGATAGGGCTGACCACTGTGATCTCCTAAAACCATTACTATTAAAGGGTGACAGAAAGACTGCAAGTCAGAGTGGCCATTATGTTTATACTGGTATACTTTTTGCATTTTAAGGCATAAGCAATTGTATTTCCTAAGACATGACTTGAATAATTATAAGAGATCACAAAAATTTAAATCATCTGTGTTGGCATTCCCCTTCACTACTACAAATTCAGTTTTTTTATTTTATTTACTGTATGCTGTAAGTGAATTAAAGAGTTAGTTGACTTATTTTCAATTCTGTCAGAATAATTCAAGGAGTCTTACTGTCAGTCCATTGATAAGGTGAAGTATTGATACAAAATTTGTCATATAATGTTTTAAACAATAAATATGGACTACCAAGACAATTTAATCTGCAATTTTGGTAACTTTGTCTCCAGATTTCACATTAGATTAAAATACAACTATTGCAAGACAGATGTGGATCTCAAGAAACCACAAAGCAGATCACAGGAACATATTTTCCATATCATTCATAATTAGTATTTCACCTTTCACAGAATGCATGTCAAAATGTGATAACTGCTGTGCCATTGAAGTAGGCTATTACTATATCATCTGTAAGTAAGAGTTTTAATTTACAGCAGTTCTAGTCTACCAATTTTTAAATAAATTTTAAATTATAGTCAGTTTTTAGTTATCTTTGATTTTGAAAGGTAGAAGTAGAAGAGTAAGTATACTTCAGGGATTATTAATTAAATATTTTGCTAAAGGTTATTTGAGTCACATCAGGCCTTTTGGTAGCTTCTAAAAAGTAACAAGTAGTTTGAATTTAACCTTTTCTTTTTTCGTTTTGTTCAAGATTCTAATGAGCAATAAAACAACCAAAAGAAATGTATTAAAAAAATGATTCAACAAATGAATTTCAATTCATGAAACTTCTGCTTCAGAATATAGTTGATGGTCTGTTTAGACATGAAACTTTCTGATAATTTTTCTCTGGTCATACTGAGGAAATTCTCATATGTATTCTTGTATCAATCATTTTTTTGCCTAGATTCTGAGATTCATTTCAGACTTCCTTGCCTTTTTGGTACTCTACAATTTCATCATTCCAATTTCATTATATGTGACAGTCGAAATGCAAAAATTTCTTGGATCATTTTTTATTGGCTGGGATCTTGATCTCTATCATGAAGAATCAGACCAGAAAGCTCAAGTCAATACTTCTGATCTGAATGAAGAGCTTGGACAGGTAAAAAAGATCATTTTATTTTGTTTTGCTAATATTTTATTTTTATCAAAACAATACATATACAAAGAAAAATACTATGAGGCTTATACCAAAAAATAGCCCTACTTTGCTCCACACCTAACTCTTGTTTCTCATTTTTAAATCTGAAATCGTTTTTCCCATTATTTAGCACTACTGTATATAGTGTTCTTTCTTGATTTTTAAATTTTAGACATTATTTATTACGGAATATAAAGATATACTCTTATGCTGCTGTTTATACACACATACTCAGATACATACCCACTTTGCCTCCCTATAGCCCTCTAATATTGTTATATCACAATTAGGGATTCAGTAAATGTTATTGACATTATGTTGACTCTTAGTATTGCTCACTAATTCCTAGTTCTTTATGTGTATCCTATGATACTATAATTACACTTTCTTTTTTATGTGTTATTTTCCCTAGAGTTTATTGCTCTGTTTTTTCATTTGCTTAATTTCTGTATGCCACAAACAAGTCTCTGATTAATATTTGAAATATCTCTCTACATACTCAAACATATCAAGTAATCTAGGATTTCCTTTCTCTTTCTTTTTATGGTGGCAGCTTTTTTGAAGACTTTTGTCTTTCTGCTTCAATTTGGACTTATTTCTGGGCCTGCTTCTTAGCTGTCACCCAGGACTTCACTTTACCATTACTCTAGAAATTCCTTTGCCTCTCTCCTGTTTTGGATCTCCTGTCTCCTGGATCCCGTGTCACCCCACATGTGTCTTTTTCTCTCATTTTGGTGGAATACATCTTCTAATAACTTCCTGAAAAAGGATGCATGAGAGGAGAATATTTTGAGACTTTGGATGTGTGAAAATTCTTTATTCCTTTTTTACACTTGATTAGTAATTTAGTTGTATAATGCATCCCAGGTTGGAAATTATCATTCTTCCATATTTTAAAAGCATTTCTCCATTTTTTTCTGGCTTCCAATGTTGCTGTTAAGAAATGCAATGCCATTCTGATTCCGAGTTCTTTGTGTCTGATCTGTTATTTTATCTCTGGAAGTCTTTAGGATCTTCTCTTAATGTGATGATTCTGAAATTTCATGATGAGGTACCTTGGTGTCAGTCTTTTTTTTTTTTTTTTTTTTTTATGCTTTCATTGGACAGTGAGCTCTGTGAGCCCTTTCAGTCTGGAAATACATGTACTTCAATTCTAGAAATTTTCTTACATAATTTCTTTGATAACATGTCTTTTTTAATTTAGTATTTAGATATCAGACCATTTATCTTGATTCTCTAATTCTCTTTCTTTGACTTTCAGTTTTCCTTTACTTGTTTGTTTTTATAATTATGGAAGAATTTGTCAACTCTATCTTTCTACCTATCTTTTAATTTCTTTTATTTCTGTTATAATATTTTTAATTTCTAATATTCTAGTATATTTGAATAATCTTTTTTAATTGCATCATATTCCTTTTCTTGAATATAAGCTATTCTTTTAGCTCTCTGAAGATATTAATGATGGCTATTTAGTCTTGTGCTCCTTGCATTTTCTCTTTGCCCCTAGTTCCTTTCTCAGTAGTCTGTTCTACTACAATATGGCATATGCATTCCTAAAACTTATTGTGCTACTTAAAATTACTTAGTAAAAGCCACAGGACTAATGGGATTAGGAGTACAACAAAACTTTGTCAATGACACATTTAAAATAGCTTGTTAAGAAATGCATAAGTACTGTGGCATTTATCTTGAAATTTATCATAAAATGTGGCATTTTATCTTGAAATAGACCAGAAGGTTTCTTGTAGAAGTGACCATCATCGAAGTATTGCTACCTGTGTGTCATTGTAAAGTATAGAAAGGAAGGTTATCTGAAAACAGAAGTGGATGGGTGTGGCTTATAACACCCATGGTGACCTGAGGTAACTGGTACCTGTTTGAGGCTTGCACATTTCACGTGTTCCTTCTGGGCTTGGCAGTTTGCTGGTGTTTCTCACAAAGGAAATTGTGCATAACCAAATGCAAAGTGCACGTTATGTTCAAATTGTTCCCTTATATATCAGCCATATTGTTATAAGTTCATGTTTTCATGACCTTGTTGTAGCAAACTGTCTAATTTGTCTTAGACTCTACCTTTCTTTTAAGGAGTGATCCTCAAATGAATGCTAATCTTTGGTTTTCTTTACAAGCTTAAAAGTTTTCCATAGAAAACCCTAGCAGCCCAGCTATTTTTTGGCACATCCCCAGACATCAGTGTTGGTCTTTTCTCAGTTTCCCCAGAGAGAATTACTCCAGTTAGTATTTCTGCTGCTTGTGATTGTTAGGGCCATCCAGTAGAAATCTCCGTTTTTAGTGTACTGCCACACTCCTGTTTTTAGCTGCCTCACACCTGTTTTCAGCTTTCCACAGGGTTCAGATTCTCTCTGGTTCAAGCTCCTCCTTAGACAATAAACCTTCCAGCTGTTGCTCGGATAGATGTAAGGCAGTCTCAGGTTTGCAAATTATGAGGTGATTTCAGGTTCCACACTGTTCCTGATACCTCCATTTTCTGCGAGTTTCTGGGAAAGGATTTGCCCCCATTGCTTAGGTTTCATATTCTATGTTCTCTTAAGTCACTTGCCACTCATTCAGCTCCTTTCCATCTTCCAAACTTGTTATATCTCCCTTCTCATGTTGTTTCATCTACCATTATTTTTGTTCTTTTTTTATTCCTCTATTCTTACTTAAGTGAAGTTTCAAGAGGAGCAGAGATAATTGTACTTGCTCAGCCTGCCATTTTTAACCAGAAGTTGATCCATTTATTTTTAACATTTAGGAGGCTGTAGTAACTTATGCTAAATATTAATTTATGTCACATTTCTTTAATTATGTATCACATATTCAGGACCTAAAAACAGAGCCTGCTTTTACTTCTCCAAACACATTTTTTCCCATTTTTTCTTTCCTTTGACCTTTTCTATCCCAATTTTCTTCTCTTCCTCTTTCCTTCATGTTAGAATGTTGTTTTTCTGAAACTTCACACTGTGCATATCCATATCTGTTTTCTTTTTAATAAACTTTAAGTGATAACTTTGTAAAATTTCTAATTCATCTCAGCCTTTCTTTTTACTTTTAAGCCTGCAAGTATTTCATAATATGTTTATTGCCTATATTCCTTTACCTATTTTTATACCAGTGAAATCTACTTTATTTCACACTCTCCTATGTCCTTAAATTTCCATACTGTTAAAGAAGCTACTCTTAGGGTGGTGTACAGTGCCCTCTTTATCACTAAAGTTAAAACTTCTTGATTTTATACAAATTTTTAAAAATCAAAATTGAGGGGCGCCTGGGTGGCACAGTCGGTTAAGCGTCCGACTTCAGCCAGGTCACGATCTCGCGGTCCAGGAGTTCGAGCCCCGCGTCAAGCTCTGGGCTGATGGCTCAGAGCCTGGAGCCTGTTTCCGATTCTGTGTCTCCCTCTCTCTCTGCCCCTCCCCCGTTCATGCTCTGTCTCTCTCTGTCCCAAAAATAAATAAACGTTGAAAAAAAAAAATTTTTAAAAAAAATCAAAATCAAAATTGATTTATTTTATTCATCTCTATCTAATCTTTTTTTTTTTCTCAAAATGTTTTTTTTTTTTTTTATTTATTTCAAAGGAGAGAGCGAGACAGAGCATGAGCGGGGGAGGAGCAGAGGAGAGGGAGAGACAGAATTCGAAATAGGCTCCGGGCTCTGACCTGTCAGCACAGAGCCCGATGTGGGGCTCAAACTCACAAACTGCGAGATCATGACCTGAGCCGAAGCCAGACGCTCAACCAGCTGAGCCACCCAGGGGCCCCTCTATCTAATCTTTTAATTCTAAAAAGTCCTCCATGACTGACAGATCTCTGTCTATTCTAATCACTTTTGGAGTATTAGTTCTGTTTGCTGATATATTTTGTATCATAAAATAAAAGTGGCAAGAACAGACATTTTTGCTTTATTCCTGAACTTAGTTTCAGGGAAAGCATTCAGTCTTTCTTCATCCAATGCTAATTATGGGGTTTTGTAGACGTATTTTATCAGGTTGAGGAAAGCCTGTCCCTAATTTGTTGAATGTTTTTATCATGAAAGGGTATCGGATTCTGTTAAATGCTTTTTCTGCATCTGTTGAGATGATCATTTTAATAATAGAATAAAGAACAAGTGCCAACTTATTATTATGGTGGGTTTCATTGATTAATTGATGTTGAACCAGTTTTGCATTCCAGGGATGAATCCCACATGTTCATGGTGTGTATTTTTTATCTTGTTCTAGATTTGGTTTGTGTTTATGTTCGTAAGGGATATTGGTCTGTGGTTATTGTTTTTCCTTATGATGTCTACCTCGCTTTTTAAATGATGACTTTCTCAAATCATCATTGCATTAATTAAATCCTCACCGTGATCCTAGTTTGTATCAAGATTTAACTATTTCAGTCTTCTCTTTTTGGACCTACCTTCTTTTAGGGTTAATTTTCCAAAATTAGTCTCCAAGAGTAATACAATTATTTGTCTTACCTTTTTAAAATATTTTCATTTGGGGCGCCTGGGTGGCTCAGTCGGTTGAGCGTCTGGCTTCGGCTCAGGTCATGATCTCGCAGTTTGTGAGTTTGCGTGCCGCATCGGGCCCTGTGCTGACAGCTCAGAGCCTGGAGCCTGTTTCGGATTCTGTGTCTCCCTCTCTCTCTGTTCCTCCCCAGCTCTGTCTCTCTCTAAAATAAATAAACATTAAAAAAAAATTTTTTTTTTTTAAATTTTTTTTTCAACGTTTATTTATTTTTGGGACAGAGAGAGACAGAGCATGAACAGGGGAGGGGCAGAGAGAGAGGGAGACACAGAATCAGAAACAGGCTCCAGGCTCTGAGCCATCAGCCCAGAGCCCGACGCGGGGCTCGAACTCACGGACCGCGAGATCATGACCTGGCTGAAGTCGGACGCTTAACCGACTGCGCCACCCAGGCGCCCTAAAAAAATTTTTTTTAAATAAATAAAAATTAAAAAATAAAAAAATAAAATATTTTCACTTAAACTTTTTCCTTTTCCCTGAGTTTGTCTCCTACCCTTGGTTTCATTTTCCCCCATCTATCTATTTTAGATAACTTTCTATCTCTGACTTCTTGTGTTGCTATGACTTTGTGTTCCTGTTCCCAGCTCTGTACCATTTCTTCTGGACCACATACCCTTTCACATTCTAGGTTATTAAGCATCCCTTCCACCCTTGCTCAAAGATCATTCTTAATCCTACTACTTCAAAATACCTTATCCAGGAGAGGAAAAAGAACTATTAATACCACATTATCAGCCAGCTCTACAGATGAACATGCATGTAAAAATGCCACGAACTTCAAAGTGTATGTGTATATAGACTGAAATTATTTTATGTTACTCTGTTTTGTTTCTGGGTATCTTTAATTATTGTGCTTGGATTAAAGGAATCTCAGCATCAGTATGCCAATGTTAATAGGTAAGCTTGACTTTAGGAGATGGGCAACAAGGTTTTTTTGTTTAACATAGGACCATAAACACAAAAGTTTTTTTTTTTCTTTTATCTTTCATCTCTAGGTGGAATATGTGTTTACAGATAAAACGGGCACATTGACAGAAAATGAGATGCAGTTTCGGGAGTGTTCAATTAATGGCATAAAATACCAAGAAATCAATGGTAGACTTGTCTCTGAAGGACCAACACCAGACTCTTCAGATGGAAACTTATCTTATCTTAATAGTTTATCCCATCTTAACAACTTATCCCATCTTACAACTAGTTCTTCTTTTAGGACCAGTCCTGAAAATGAAACTGAACTAGTAAGTAACTTTTAAATTAATAAATTGGAATTTCGTTTGAAATAATTCTCTCTGGTAGTTGCTCGATTGATTGAAGGAGAAAAAGTTTAAGTGTTAGTGGGACAAAAAATATATATTTGAAATGTATATCCTTTGATTCAACACGGAGAATTTGTGGTTATAACCCAGTTTAACTTGTCAATTAATGTGTGTCTGCCTTAGTTCTCTGGGTAAATGAGACTAAGTTAAGAAGAACCCTATGCCTTGAAGTAAAGAAGTAAAGAGACTTTTGCTAAGAAATAGAGCTTACATTTATTTAATGCTTCTTGAGACCTCACTTTTTAAGAGGTCTTACAATTTGGCGGTGCCTCCCAAAAGATACTCTTATGTTGAAAGGTCATAAGCAAATGTAACATTTTACTTTTTGGAGTCAGAAGCAACCAGCTAGTATTCAGGCAGTTCAAGATTATAGCACTCTTGTTGTAAATCTAAGATAACCAATTATTTTTTATTTTTATTTTTTTAAATTTTTTTTTCAACGTTTATTTATTTTTGGGACAGAGAGAGACAGAGCATGAACGGGGGAGGGGCAGAGAGAGAGGCAGACACAGAATCGGAAACAGGCTCCAGGCTCTGAGCCATCAGCCCAGAGCCCGACGCGGGGCTCGAACTCAGGGACTGCGAGATCGTGACCTGGCTGAAGTCGGACGCTTAACCGACTGCGCCACCCAGGCGCCCCGATAACCAATTATTAACAGTATTTATTGACATTTTTTAGAATTCTGCTTATGGTTTTCTAAATGTTGTTTGGGGATGGTATTTTTATTGTGAATATTATTTTTCTACAGATTAAAGAACATGATCTCTTCTTTAAAGCAGTCAGTCTCTGTCACACTGTACAGATTAGCAACGTTCAGACTGATGGCATTGGTGATGGTCCCTGGCAATCCAACCTTGCACCCTCCCAGTTGGAGTACTATGCATCTTCACCAGATGAAAAAGCTCTAGTGGAAGCTGCTGCAAGGTATAGTTTAGTCTAATTTTCAAATCTTCAGAAAAACATCTTTTAAATAAACAACTACAAATACTAGAAAGTTATTTTAAATTGTCAGACAAAATTAATAAATGCATAAAGGTAGAATTCATAAACACATAAAGGACAATTTTATATGTGTCATTAATTTTGTTGACAGCTTGCATTGAATCATATTTTGAAGAGATTTTTAAAAATCTGGTTACTGTGAAATATGAATAATATAATTTGTGAGAAATACTTGTGAATGTATTGTTTTGGACCTATTCTGATCCTTCAAGTTCTTAAAAATAATGCCATATTCAAATTAATTTTTTTTATTTATTTTTCAGAGAGAAAGAGAGCACATGCAAGCAGGGAAGGGGCAGAGAGAGGAAGAGAGAGAATCCCAAGCAGGCTCCATGCTGTCAGTACAGAGCCCAACTGGGCTCCATCTCACAAAGAACCATGAGATCATGACCTGAGCCGAAATCAAGAGTTAGACACTTAACTGAGCCACCCAGGTGCCCCTCAAGGAAATATTTTTAAATGCATCTTAAATGTGTATTTTAAATGTTTTTATTCAGGCTAAGTTATAATGACATATTGTGAAACATGAAATAGCGTCTCTAAATCTTACATTTCTTAGGGTTCCTGGGTGGCTCAGTCAGTTAAGCATCTGACTTAGGCTCAGGTTATGGTCTCATGGTTCATGAGTTCAAGCCCCCCACATCGGGCTCTGCTGTCAGCACAGAGCCCACTTCAGATATTCTGTCCCCCTCTCTCTGCCCCCACCCTGCTCTCATGTGCTCTTTCACTCAAAAATAAATAAACATTTGAAAAAAATTTTTTTAATCCTATATTTCTTCTCTTTTAATCCCTAGAATTGGCATTGTATTTATTGGCAATTCTGAAGAAACTATGGAAGTTAAAACACTTGGAAAACTGGAACGGTAATTTTTTTTCTATATTGTAATCTTCTGTGTGTTTAGTATAGAATAGGAATCTGTAAACTGTGGCCCATAGGCCATATCAGGTCTATGGCTTGGTTTGTACAGTCTACAAGCTATATTACACTTTTAAAGGATTGTTGTTTTAAAAAAAAAAAAAAGCAACAGAAACCATATATAGCCTGCAAAGCCTAAAATATGTACTGTCTGGACCTTTACAGAAAAAGTTTACTGACCCCTGCTCTAGAATGATGTTAATACTCCATTGTACTTTTTCACAGTAATAATAACATTCTACTGTGAATCTTTCATTTGTATTTTAGCTTAATGGTTCTTGAATTTACTCATATGTTTATTTTTATACACTCCTGGGGTAATGAGTTCCATAAGTTCTTACTGAATAAAGAAAACCTTCCTTATATTTACACTGCTTTATAAATTAGTCCATTCCTGTTCTAGTCATATCTTTCATTGTTTTATCAATTCCAATTATATCTCAACTGTAGCTGTCCCTTGCCAAACTATGGTTTTCCAAACTAAAATAGAGCCATTTTTTGGCTAATTTCATGTAGAAGCCTATGTGCTCATTTCATCAACTTACAAACCATCATCCCACTCAGTGTTTTTCTTTGAGATGTACAAAACATTTCATATAAACATCATTATATAAATCCATCCCAAAAACTTCAAGCCACATCTGACCCATCCACACAAATTCTTTTACTGCTCCCTATAAAGGCATTTGTTTCCCTACCTGTACACACGTACACTGTTCTAGGTTCAGAATCACTGCTGTAATGATCCTCTGTTACTAATGTCAGTGTGTTGTATTTCTCAGGTGTGTTTGGGCAGAGAAAAGGGTTGAGAATCAATTACCTTTTTTAGAAAAACGTGGAGCTGGGCAGATCTGGATTCCAATCCTTGCTGTGCCACTCACAAACTTATTTGACTTTAGGAAAATTACTTAATCTTTCTGAGTTTAATAGTCCTCATCTGTAAAATGAGATAAGACCTACCTTCTTTGGTTCTCATGGGTATTAAATGACATAAGGTAGGTAAAGTACATGGCATTTGGTAAGTACTCAATAAATGTCAGTTCCTTCTATTTCTATCTTGTGTTATTATTAGTGATTCATAACCCATCATCTTGAAAATGTACTTGAGATTAATTTCTTATTCTAAATCAACTATTTTATCTTTTATAGGGGTTCTTGTCAAAGATTCACTTACTATTCAAAAAAAGTAGACTTTTTATCTTATTTTTTTTTTCCTTAGGTACAAACTGCTTCATATTCTCGAATTTGACTCAGATCGTAGGAGAATGAGTGTGATTGTTCAGGCACCTTCAGGTAACCTGTCTAAATTTTTATGAATTTTTATTTATCCAATATTAAGAGTCTGATAACTGATTTTTCTCTTTAGGTGAGAAGTTTTTATTTGCTAAAGGAGCTGAATCATCAATTCTTCCTAATTGTGTAGGTGGAGAAATAGAAAAAACCAGAATTCATGTAGATGAATTTGCTTTGGTGAGTGGAGATTTCTAAAATATATAAAACTAGAAGATATACATATGAAAGATTTAAGGCTTCATTTTTGCATTAGTAATTTATAAAAAAAATTATAGACATTCTGCAGTTCTGTTACAGTATGTGTTGTCTTCCACATTCTTTGGTTATAAAATGACTTTTAACCTGCTAAAATTCAAGTCTTCTCTTTGAACCTATTACAATCAGGGTATTTCTGGCTACAAAACATTAAGAAGAGAAGTTTACTAAAAAAAATATAGGGGAATCCCAAGGATGTGGAGAAACTGGCACCTTCATTGCTGGCGAGAATATAAATGGTACAAACACTTTAGAAAAGAGTGTGACAGGGGCGCCTGGGTGGTGCAGTCGGTTAAGCGTCCGACTTCAGCCAGGTCACGATCTCACGGTCCGTGAGTTCAAGCCCCGCGTCGGGCTCTGAGCTGATGGCTCAGAGCCTGGAGCCTGTTTCCGATTCTGTGTCTCCCTCTCTCTCTGCCCCTCCCCTGTTCATGCTCTGTCTCTCTCTGTCCCAAAAATAAATAAACGTTGAAAAAAAAAAATTAAAAAAAAGAAAAGAGTTTGACAGTTTCTCACAGAACATAGAGTAATAAAGGTAACTGTATAACCCATTCACTGCTAGTTATACACCCAAGAGAACTGAACACATGTTCACACAAAAACTTAGTAGCATTTTTGCTAAATAGCCAAAAGGTGGAAACATTCAAATTCCATCAGCTGATGCATGGATTAAACAATGCGTCATCTCCCTATAATGGAATGTTATTTGGCCATTAAAAGGAATGAAATACTTAAAATACTTATATGCTACAACATGGATGAATCTTGGAAAGGTTATGCCTAGTAAAAGAAGCTAGTCATAAATGGTCACATGTTCCATTTATATGAAATATCCAGATTAATGGAATTCATAGAAACAAAAAGCACATTAGTAGTTGCCAGGGTCTGGAAGAAGGGGTAAAAAGGAAGTGTCTGCTAATGAATATGGGATTCCTTTTAGGGATGATGAAAATGTTCTGTAATTAGATAGTAGTCATGATTGTACAACTCTGTGAATACACTAAAAACCACTAAATTGTACTCTTTAAAGGAATGAATTTTATGGTTTGTGAATTAAGTCTCTTACTAGAAGAATGTAGGAGAATCTTATAAAAACAAAGTGCCACACTTCATCTGAAGAGGAAGATTTTTAAGCAGCTCTCTTTCAGTCTTAGGAACTCATGATCTCTTATTTCTGCATTTCTATAAATGTATGCTCCATACTCATCTCTGCTCACCTGCCTCCCTTTTATGGTTTATTTTCTCCCATTGCTTGTTTCCTAATTGTTTATGATATAGTTCACCTACCACACTGTAACATCCATGAGAACAAAGACATTCTTCTACTTAACATTCATTTTAATATCCAGAATAATGCTGGCACATAGTTAGCATTTCAATAAGTATTTGTTGTAAAGTGAAATACTTTCATATACTAGTAACTCTCATGGCCTCTTAACTATTATTTAAGAAAAACATTTATAGGTGTGGGTCATTTGGTTTTTTGGTTGTTGTCTTTTTTAATGCTTGTTTATTTTTGAGAGAGAGAGAGGAAATCCCAAGCAGGCTCTGCACTGTCAGCACAGAGCCTTGATGCAGGGCTTGAACTCACAAACCATGAGATCATGACCTGAGCCGAAATCAAGAGTTGGATGGCTGAGCCACCCAGGCACCCCTAAGTGTTGGTCATTTGTAAATCAAGAACATCAATATTTAGAAATCTAAATAATGTCATATAGTATTTTAAAATGTACCCTTTCCAAGTTCTGTTATTAGAATATTTGGGTTTTTCTGAGGAAAATGTACAGCAAGAACTTTTATAAGCTTTTGCATATAGGTACCAACTTTTAAATAGTAACACCATAGGAAAAATTTGTGCCCAGGAGAATCGGATAATCAAATATATATTCCTAAGTATTGTGTAACTCCGTTTCACCAATGAAGATGTATAATGATACAGTTTAAAATCATTCGGTGGCTCTAGAAAGATTAAAATATTAATCTTAATATTTTGAGATTTTTTAATCTTAATACTTTGATAATAATTGTTAATGTTTTTGCCACATTTAGTGGGGGTATCTTCCCAAGTAATGTTTTTTGTATAAATATTTTCTAGATCATGTTTTTCTATATATTTTAAACTTTCATTTAGTACAAAATATATCTTGGTGATTTTTGTGTACTTTATTAAGAATTGAGGGGCGCCTGGGTGGCACAGTCGGTTAAGCGTCCGACTTCAGCCAGGTCACGATCTCGCGGTCCGTGAGTTCGAGCCCCGCGTCAGGCTCTGGGCTGATGGCTCAGAGCCTGGAGCCTGTTTCCGATTCTGTGTCTCCCTCTCTCTCTGCCCCTCCCCCATTCATGCTCTGTCTCTCTCTGTCCCAAAAATAAATAAACGTTGAAAAAAAATTAAAAAAAAAAAAAAAAGAATTGTTTATTGGATGAGGGCCACCTTACTGACTTCGTTATTTGAACTGTAAATTCGTCATACTGTGCACCTTCAGGAAATTATGGTCTTCTTTGCTTAAAAAGAATTCTTATAAAATGGATTTGTAATGGTTAAAACAGGAGAATAGAACCTGGGCTGCCTGTCTCTTGACAGCCTGAAGATACCCTTATAGAAGTGTCTGGCTTTCCAGGTAAAACAGTTTTAAAACCACAGTAAGATCATCTTTATGATCCTGTCTAGGCTCTGATATTAAAAACCTTAAGTATTTTGAGCAACTTTTTAAGAACTCACCAAAAATTATAAAAGCTCTGATAATGTGTGTCCCATAACTCAGATCGCTAGGGCTTTGTGACACTTTATGTATATCCTGTTACTAGATGATAGTACTTTTAAGTTGTTTGTAATTGACTTTTGGTAAGGCATCCTCAGTTTATTTCAGTGACTTCTTGATTTCCCATTAGTTATTTTGGTTCAATTTTTGTCTTTAATTTTTCTGTTTTAGAAAGGGCTAAGAACTCTGTGTATGGCCTATAAACAGTTGACGTCTAAAGAGTATGAGGAAATAGATAGACGTCTTTTTGAAGCCAGAACTGCCTTGCAACAACGGGAAGAGAAATTGGCAGATGTCTTCCAATTCATAGAGAAAAATCTGATATTACTTGGAGCTACAGCAGTGGAAGACAGGTAAATATCAGACAAATAGGCAATATCCGTTTTTTTCTCATAAGAATTTTCCTAGCCAAGTGTTTCTAATTTATGACATAAATTCCATTTATTAACATCCTATAATAATATATTTAAAATCAAAATAAATGGGTAATTTTTCCCATTCAGCAGATACAACACTTATTCTAGCCAGATACCTTAAATAGATGAATGAACTCAGCTATGTAGCTTTCCCTATAGGCTTGAATTTGTAGACTACTACTCAGTATGGCATACAAAAGCTTTAAGCACCTGTTTAATGCTCCAGCTTCACTTCCCACCACTGCCTGCTTCCACATTATGCTTCAACAGTACCAAACTGTCTGTAGTTCTCTGAACAACAGCTCTAGTTAAAACTATTCTATTTTGTGCCTTTGTTCTGTGGCAAGGCTGTACGTTGTGCCTGGATAATTCCCCCTTACCCATTTGTGAATATCTTTTTAAAATATAGCTCAGATAGTACCCCCACTCCAGTAAGACCTTTCTTTACCCCTAACCGGATTAAAAACCTCTCCTTTGGGGCGCCTGGGTGGCGCAGTCGGTTAAGCGTCCGACTTCAGCCAGGTCACGATCTCGCGGTCCGTGAGTTCGAGCCCCGCGTCAGGCTCTGGGCTGATGGCTCAGAGCCTGGAGCCTGTTTCCGATTCTGTGTCTCCCTCTCTCTCTGCCCCTCCCCCGTTCATGCTCTGTCTCTCTCTGTCCCAAAAATAAATAAACATTGGGGGAAAAAAAAAAAAAAAACCTCTCCTTTGTGAAGTATCCATGTTTTGTAGGTAGTTCTGTGTTTTTCTTGTGGCAGTATAATTATTTCTTTAAAGACTTTCTCCTCTATTAGTTTGTGAATTCCTTGAGGCCTATTTAGTGTTTGTTCCTCATCACTTGTCTCTGTAAGTGTTTGCATTTTTTTAAATTTAGGTTTTCATTTACTTTTCAGTTGTCCTCATGAGATTTCTAAGACTCACCTACGGTTATGTCATCCTTTGTTGTCCACAATTTGATTTTTGAACTACTGATGTGAGAAATTTTCTTGTAAAAAAGAGAAAAATCTTCTAATTTCAAATTTAATATTTTCTAATAAATAGGAGTTTATGAAGACTGTATACTTAGTTTAGTTCTATAAAAATCAACTTAGAAGATCTACTCGTAAGATATAAAGTCGTGGATGTTATGTTAACCAGATGATGGCTAATTTGGTTTTTCCTGTTTCTTTCCAAATGGGGGGAAAAATCAATTATATCACTGTACTATAACATTTTTAAGTCAGGGAGTCTAGAATTTACCTTGTATGTACTAGGTGGTTTATAATTGAAATAGTCAAAAAGTATTCTTCTCACTACTAATGTTGTTTCTTTTATTTCCAGGCTACAAGATAGAGTTCGAGAAACTATTGAGGGATTAAGAATGGCTGGTATCAAAGTATGGGTACTAACCGGAGATAAACATGAAACAGCTGTTAGTGTGAGTTTATCATGTGGACATTTTCACAGAACCATGAACATCCTTGAACTTATAAACCAGAAATCAGACAGTCAATGTGCTGAACAATTGAGGCAGCTTGCCCGAAGGTAAGAATGTAATTATCTGGATCATGAGTTCAGGGGTCAGCAAACTATGGTTTCTGGGTCCAAGATGGCCCACTGCCTGTTTTTTATAGCCTGTGAGCTGAAAATAATTTTTATATTTTTAATGGGTGAAGAAGAATCCAAAGAAGAGAAATATTTTGATGTAAAAATTTATGAAATTCAAATCTAAATCCTATAAATAAAGTTTTATTGTAACAGTTCCACAGTCATTCATTTCCATATCATCAGTAAAAAGTTTTTGCACTTCAGGACAGTTGGGTAGTTGCGACAGAGCCATTAGGAAGCACTTTTATCATTTCTCACTGCTGCTTGATTTACTACAGATCACAGTGACACCATTGTAACTCAGTAGTGTTTTGAGTGCCACACATATTGCCCTATGATATTTTACTATATTTTTATTAGTAGTATTTATCCATCGTGTCCAAACAAGAAAAGAAAAATGGACTTTTAATATCAAACTTTTCATGCACAATGTAGTGTTGATTATTTTATTACCAAATTAGGAGTCACAGCACTGTGTTTATTACTCAGTGACACTTTAATATGCTACCTGTTTGAAAAGACATATTCAAAGGTAAAATATAAAATCTCAATACAGATAGTTCTGTTGTGTTAAAATATAAAATCTCATTGCAGATCAGCATTAAAAGGTAGACTTTTGTAATTGATTTTGATGACGGGGAACATTAAACCTGAATTAAGCAAAATGTTATCTCCCCTGCCTCCTCCCCCGAAAGAAAAGATTTCCATTTCTTCTCACTGGTAGACTTGTATTACTTGAAAAATTATACTCAATTACTATTATTAAGTTTTTTTACTTAGTCCATAAAAATTTTTGTCAAAATCTGTCTCCTCTATTTTAATAAAGTACCTGCATTATATTCTCAGTTTAGCCTCTTGGCCCACAAAATCTAAAATCTAAAATTGAAGTATTTACTTCTTTCTGTCTCTTTACAGAAAACACTTGCCAAATCCAGATCTAGTTCATATGACTAAACTAGGAAATTAATATACATTTTATTGTTCAGAGATAATTTCATAAGTATTTATACTCTAAATTCATTCTTTTTTTTTTTCTAAATCTGTTTTTTATAGACAGATCAACTTTATTTAGGAGCCCCTTTAACGATCTCATTTTTCACAGTGATTTAAGGATTGCTTCAGTGTAAGCATTAGGGTTGTTCTGGTCTCCCACAGGTACCTGTCATTTGCAGCCTTCTGCTAATACAGAAAAACAGATGTGAAAAGATATTGCCACAGTTTTCAGTGTACTTTCAGAGCTTTATTCATATTTGTTATACAGGCATTGATATAGTACTGAACTCTGGATTTCATCAAAGAACAACTTAAGGGATGTTTTAAAGAGACAGTGCAACTCTCAGAAGGTTCTTTGCTTGAGTTCAAAAAAGCAATTGATCTAGGTAATTATACTATAATTTGGGAGTAGTGACAACACCATTGTGGCTGCTTAAACATTTAAGTACCATAATATCAACGAGAACTCCCTAACACGTAGAAATTAATTATTCAGAATCATTTACTTTATATATACTTTCTAAAATATTAATCCTGTATAAAAGTAACAAGTGTCCATTTAAAAAATACTGAAAATGATGAATATATAATGGAATATACCGTAATACAGCCATCTAAAGGTAATTATTATTTGTATTTTATTCTTCAAGTCTTCTATATATGTGCTCTTAGTGAATCTGTTAAGATTATGGATATTGTTTATCTTCCTTTTGTACAAAAGCTGTATTACAAAGTGAACATTCTGGTCTTTTTTAAGGCTTGCTATGTGAAATTTATATTTTATTTTAGAGATACCATCTTTTTGGTAGAATATGTTTTCTGAGATAACCATATAAGTCAATAGGGTTTTGATTTACAGACTTCCAGTTCATGTCTATTCTAAAAATTTTTGGTGGAGCAAAGAATTCCATTCCTTTGAAAGCTCTACTTTGTATACCCATTCCTTCACAAACCTACCATTCCTTCACATATTGGTGGTCTGCTGTCTAGAATTTGGAACACAAGTCATGTAAGGTGTGTTGTTTACTCTCAGGATACTTTATTTTCTATGGGAAAAACAAATAAATATATTGTGATAGACCTGTCACAACTGGATTGTAACAGGTAAAAACAGAAAGTTGTTGGTGGACACAAGAGGGAAGCTTAGCCTAGACAACAGAGCTCTGTAGAAAAACTCAAGATTGTTGTCTCCTAAAAGAAATGTTAACTGGTCAGAGAGTAACCCCAGCAAACAAAAGGGGCAACATATGCAAATTTCCACAAGTGAGAGATGGATTCATTCAAGGAGTTGACAGTAGTGAAGTATGGCCATAGAATGCAGTGGATGGGAAGAGGGTATAGGCGGTATTAAGACATGAGGCTACAGAGATGAGCAGATGCTACCTATGTGCCAGATCTGTGAGGTGCTTTCCCATATTCCATAAATATTATCTCATGGATTGTGAGATAATATGGTGACTTATAAAGAGGAAACTTAATTTAGTGTGCTTAAGAAGTTTCCAGAGGAAAACTGATCTCTCCCACTCTTGGCTGCTACCCTTTGTTCTGAGTCATGGGCTCAGGCGGTACTTAGACTGAACACATTGGAAGCAGCAAAGGTTGCTAAATAAAGTTTGGCCAATAGGGAGGAAAAACAGTCAGTGTGGTGTTGCTTTCAGGTACATGACAATTAATAAAGAAAAATACATTTTTGAAAAGTTTATGTTGTAAAAGATAATTGTTTACCACTTATTAGTTACAGTGCAACACAGTAGTGATTAGGCATACTGTGAAAGACATCATTTTAACTTATAAAAGCTTTTTTTGTAAGACTAAAATCTATCAATATATATTTAGTTTTTATAGTTTGCTGCTCATTTGATAGTTTTCTCACTTCTCACTTAAAAAGGGAGAGTACAGGGGCACCTGGGTGGCTCAGTCAGTTAAGCATCTGACTTCTGATCTCAGCTCAGGTGATGATATCACAGTTAGTGGGCTCTAGCCCCGTGTCCCTTGTGATAGTGTCTGCACTGATAGTGAGGAGCCTGCTTGGGATTTTCTCTCTGCCCCTCCCCCACTTGCACGTGTACGCCCACTCTCTCTCAAAATAAATGAACTAAAAAAAAAAAAAAAGTAAAAATGGAGGGTTCAGTTACTGTGGAAAACAATATAATATGGAGGTTCCTCAAAAACTAAAAATAGAACTACTGTGTGATCTAGCAATCCCACTTCTGGATATATTCAAGGAAAATGCAGTCACTATCTGAAATTTGCACCCCCCCCCATGTTCATTGCAGCATTATTCACAATAGCCAAGAATGGAAACAACCTAAATGTCTGTTGTCGGATGAATGGATAAAGAAAATGTGTGTCTATATAAACTCATGTAAATACACACACAGGAATATTATTCAGCTATAAAAAAGAAGGAAATATTTTTGTGACACATGGATGGACCTTGAGAGCAGTATGCTAAGTGAAATAAGTCAGGCAGAGACAGACAAATACAAATGGAATCTAAAAAAGGTGAACTCATAGAAACAGAGTAGAATGGTGGTTTCCAAAGCTAGGGTGTAGGGAAAATGGGTAGATGATGGTCAAAGGGTACAAACTTCTAGCTTACATATAAGATGAATGAGTTCTGGAATTCTCATATAAGGCATGGTGACTATAATTAACAGTACTGTATTATATACTTAAGAATTGTTAAGAGAGTAGATCTTAAATTTGTCACCACACAAAAAGATGATAATTAGGGGCGCCTGGGTGGCTCAGTCGGTTAAGTGGCCGACTCCGGCTCAGGTCATGATCTCGCGGTCTGTGAGTTCGAGCCTGCGTCAGGCTCTGTGCTGACAGCTCAGAGCCTGGAGCCTGTTTCAGATTCTGTGTCTCCCTCTGTCTGACCCTCCCCCATTCATGGTCTGTCTCTCTCTGTCTCAAAAATAAATAAACGTTAAAAAAATTTTTTTTAAACAAAAAAACAAAAAGATGATAATTACATGAGGGGATGGAGATGTACTCATACAGCATATGCTCACAGGGCGATGCTATCCATGTTCCACCATAGTACTATCTGGCATTACATAGAATCCAATGTAGGGGTTAATATCAAAAGACAGTTATGATTCCTTTATTCCTTCTTGCTCACATGGTAAATCTATCTCATGAATTTTCCTGAACATTGTTGATTTTATTTACTTTTTTAAATTAGGACTTCCTAAATGTATAACTAATAATTTTATATTTTTGTAAGATTTTTCTACACTTCAGGAAAATATCCTAAGAATTATATGCTTTATAATTCCCATTTTAGAAAATATACTCTATCAGGTCATTGTAAAATTGAATATCATATGTTTTATTCATCATATCAGTCACTCTCAGTTTTGCTTAATCTCAGCTTTCAGGTAATATAACTCCATTTCTTCCCTGACATATCAGTTTTGTAACAATAAAGTCTGCGGGTAAATGGTCCATCTTTTCGTAAGAATTTTTTGTTTACTAGATGTATATAAATAATATGGTTTCAAAGTATTTTACAGAGAATATAATTATTTTCTCGTAGAATTAAAGAGGATCATGTGATTCAGCATGGGCTGGTGGTAGATGGGACTAGCCTGTCTCTTGCACTCAGGGAGCATGAAAAACTATTTATGGAAGTTTGCAGAAATTGTTCAGCTGTACTGTGCTGTCGTATGGCACCACTGCAAAAAGCAAAGGTATGTTTGTATTATAAAACGTTCCATAAAGATACTGAGATCTAAAAGTACTCTTTAAGGTTAATGCCTTATCTAGTCCTATTTGGTAGTCACTTCTCACATTATGAATTTTAACCATGTACGTTAGACCTTTGAAATTTTCAAAATGAATATTAGTTTCAGCTATTCATAATGACCTACAAAGTCTTCTATGGGTGGCAGTTTGTGATTTTGCTGAGACACAAACTGAACTTTGATAACTACAGTTTCATAAGTTAGTTACTTAACTGGTGAGGAGGTCTGGAAGACTTCTGTTCTTCTGCAACTTCAGGTTGTTCTATGGAGCACGGCTTATTTTTGCACTCTCCCAAAGTGATAATTTTCTGTTCAAAGTGGCTATTAAGTGATAAAACTTTAGTGAAAAGTTTAAAAGCCAGTTATCTTATGATTTGAAGCTATATACAGGAAATATTAAAATGTTAGCTAACAAATGAAAGGCTTTACAAATATTTTTTATAACTTGATTCAAAATTTGGGTCTTATACTATATCTTTCACAAATATCTTCTGAATTGCACACCTACACACTGATTGTTTCTCATATGGGTCTAATGACATCCAGCATTGTTTTACTTCATGGAATTTTATTAAAATGCCTATATTATTGTAATTCACGTACCCAGTCTGTGGAGACTACAGTTGGAGACCAAATAGAGCTAATGCCTAGGTTCTTTATAAATGTGTGTTCAAGAATTCCAAAGAAAGCTTTCTTTTAATTTTATTGAATTTAATCTTGATTGCTTTTTTAAATTTCTTAAATTTTATGACAAGAGAAAATAATTACCTTCCCTCTATCAAATAAAAAGAATAGTTACTTGAGAAAGAGAAAATTTTGCCTGACAAAGTTCAATTAAGTGTAATTATTTTTTAACACAATTAAGTTTTTTACACTTTTAAGCTGTACTTAAAAGAGACTTGCTTCCCATCAAAAAATCCAAAGATAATATTCTCTTTTGCTATGTAATTTCTAAAAGACATTCCTAACATCTCCTCAAAAAATGAACTCCATTGAAAATTACTGTCTAATACAAAATTGACTTTTTTCATTATTCAACTGTTCTTGTAACAGTCATTTCAGATAAATGACTATATAAATACAAGAAAATTGAAATTTTATAATAACTAATTAGTTATATGTCTTTCAGGTAATAAGACTGATAAAAATCTCACCTGAGAAACCTATAACATTGGCTGTTGGTGATGGTGCTAATGATGTAAGCATGATACAAGAAGCACATGTTGGCATAGGTGATTGATTTTTTTTTCCTGAATTTTTAAAATTGGTATAATTATTTGGTGATTTTGAATTTTCCTTTTGTAGGCTAAAATGCAGTATCAAATATATGAATGCAATGTGGTGATGTATCACTGTATCTGCATCAGAAGAAGCCCATTATAATTAAGCCCAATATTTAGGATATTTTAATTACAAAGTTTCAAGGACATAAATACCATGTTGGTGAATTTTATCTTTGCCAGTTCTCCTTCATAATAAAGTAGCTTTATTTTGCCGTGTTGTACCTTTTAAAGTACTTTCTCACATTATTCTATAATTTTTAAACTGTAAATTTGTAATTTATGTAGTTGCCCTCATGGTTGCAATTCTTTTAGAATGTTGTTATTATTTCCTGTCTTTTTCAGTCTAAAGATTCTGTAACTCATTCTAATGACAATTTTAGAAATAATAAATTATATCAAACCATTATAATATATATTTTCAAGTAGTTTTCCTTTTTATTTAAATGTTTATTTATTTTTGAGAGAGAGGACGAGTGAGGGAGGGACAGAGAGAGGGAGACAGGATCCAAAGCAGGCTCCACACTGACAGCAGAGAGGCCCATGTGGGGCTCAAATTCACAAACTGTGAGATCATGACCTGAGCCAAAGTTGGACCTTAACTGACAGAGCCCCTAGGCACCCCTCAAATAATTTTCTAACTTAATAAACTTTGTTCTAATTTCTTTTCTGTTTTTGCCTAAAAGTTTTGTTTTATTTAGACTAATACCATTTTATTATATTTAAATTATCATTTACTGTTTAAACCATATTCTGAGCTGCCTTCCTAAATAACTTTATTATGCAAATACAGAAGCAAAGGAGAAAAGTATGGAGGTTTTTTTTAATGAAGGATAAAATTTTAGAGTTAGAAAAAAGGCTAATTCCTCTTCTGGAATAACCTCTGTAATGTCCTGTGATAGGTAGTTCTCAGGTCTAATATTTCCAGTGTAGCTCTCAAATCAATTCTTCACTTTTCATTTTGAAAACTTAATTTTCTTTCTAGTTTGTGTACTGTTGTTTACCATAAATTTCCATAACAATTTGATGATAACTTCCTATACCTTCCTATTAAAGGCATAAAAAGCTACAGTAGTTACAACAATTTGATTCTAGTATGATAACAGAAAGACCAGTGAGTAGGATAGATGCAAACATCTGGAAATTTAGTTTTTTAAAAAAGGAGATGTTTCAAATAAGTAGGGAAACAAGTTATTTGATAAAAAAAAAATACTAGGGGCACCTGGGTGGCGCAGTCGGTTAAGCGTCCGACTTCAGCCAGGTCACGATCTCGCGGTCCGTGGGTTCGAGCCCCGCGTCAGGCTCTGGGCTGATGGCTCAGAGCCTGGAGCCTGTTTCCAATTCTGTGTCTCCCTCTCTCTCTGCCCCTCCCCCGTTCTTGCTCTGTCTCTGTCCCAAAAATAAATAAACGTTGAAAAAAAAAATTAAAAAAAAAATACTAATATAGCTGATTTGGTTATTTGGGAGGAAAAAAAAGTTGGGTCTCTTTCTGTTGCTTAGAGCCAAACAAATACCAGAATGATTATATATTTAAAAAATTTTAAAGACCACAAAAAGGAATGGAAGAAAAAAATTTAATGAATAATCTTGTAATTTGAGGTATGGAAGGATCTAATTTTTAGGAAAGAGAAAAAGAAAGGAAGGAAGGAAGGAAGGAAGGAAAGAAAAGAAAGAAGAAAAGAAAAAAGAAAAGAAAGGCATTGTAAAGGGAATGGTCAGTATGTCTGGCAGAAGTAAATATACCCAAATTCAAATTTTAAACATGAAACTAATAAAGAACATTTGCATGGGTGCCTGGGTAGCTCAGTCAGTTAAGCTTCTGACTCTTGATTTCGACTCAGGTTATGATCCCATGGTTTGTGGGATCTAGACCTGCATCAGACCTTGTGCTAACAGTGCAGAGCCTGCTTGGGATTTGATTTCTCTCTCTCTCCTTCTGTCTCTCCCTCTCTCTCTCTCTCTCTCTCTCTCTCTCTCTTTCTCTCCCTCCCCAACTCTCATGCACACGTGCTCTCTCTCTCTCAAAATAAACATTTTTTTTTAAATTAAGATGAGTATTAAATGCATGAAAAAAAGTGTTCAGCTCACTCAAAAAAAAATCCAAGTTTTAAAATTACCTATCAGATTGGCAAAATTACAAAGTTGGGTAAAACTTGGAATTGGCAAAGGTTAGAATTAGCAAATCCTCATGTACAGTATTAGGGGGAGTGTAAATTGGTATACCCTGCATTATTATGTATAATCGAATTTTAAATGTGTGCCTATTGACCTAGCAGTTATGCATCTAGGAATTTCTTTTAAGAAAATGAATAAAAGGGGGCGCCTGGGTGGCTCAGTTGGTTAAGCGTCCACCTCTTGATTTCAGTTCAGGTCATGATCTTGAGGTTCTTGAGATCAAGCCCCACGTGGGGCTCCACACTGTGTGGAGCCTGCTTGGTTTTCTCTCTGCCCTTCACCCACACACACATAAACTCTCTCTCTCAAAATAAATTAAAAACATTGTTAACAAATGAATAGTTAACATAGTTAGATGTTATAAAAACAATGTCCATAATGTATGAAGTGACAATAACAGATTATAAAACAAATAATCTCGTTTTGTACATTTGTTTGTGTATATATTAAATACACACAAAAAATGCAGATGGAAAAATTCTTAAAGGATATAGACCAAAAATAGTGGTCTTCTCTAGATGTTATAAATGTAAGTGATTATCTATACCTAGCCATTTTGGAAAATTTTTTTTATTACAAAAATAAAAAATTACAATTTTGAAAAATGATTTTTCAAAGCTGTTTCCAGATTGAAAAAACAAACTTGGCAAGAACTCTTTTGAAACCTAAAGGATTACTGTAACCTTAAAAATGTACTCATATTTATCAGATAAAAATTTTGTACTGATTTCAAGTGTATTGTGGACACTTATTTTAAAAAGCACATTTCATCCAGCCTAGATTAGATAAATTAACAAAGGGAGCAAGATTGTCACATTAAACATTTAAAATATTTATATACTTGGCATTTGTTCAAAATGTGCACATAGATAATCTGGTGAATTGCTATTTCATGCGTAACTTTTATCTAGATGCAGTTGTAGAAAGGTAAGAAGTTGTGAGTGTGCTAGCTTTTCTCACTATTAATTACCTTTGCAAGAATTTTCAGCAAACAGTGCATACAGTGTTTTTTTTTCTTAAGTTTATTTTGAGAGAGAGAAAGACAGCGTGTATGTGGGGAAGGGGCACAGAGAAAGGGAAAGAAAGAATCCCAAGTAGGCTCTGTGCTATCAGCATGGAGCCTGACAAGGGGCTTGATTCCAGGAACTATGAGATCATGACCTGAGCCAAAATCAGGAGTCTGATGCTTACTCACTGAGCCTACCAGATGCCCTCAATGCATACAACTTTTTTAAGTCTTCATTTGCTCTGTGTAATGTTTGTTAGTTATATTTATTGAAATATTTCATGCCATTTGAATCCAGTAATAAAATCAGGGCTTCCATTTTAAATAATCAAGTTCAATCAATAACTAAAGAGCACATTTTGTTTGACTTATGTGCGAAAGTTTTAAAACCATTAAACTTTAATGCTCATTTTTGCTAGGTTCTCATCATTCAATTTGGATTTTTTTTATGTTCATTAGAAATTAACAAAGTTAAAGCTGTTTTATAGCACTTTCTCCATTAGAAATCTGTTAACTAGTATTTTGTGTCTATTAGTGTAAAACTTGATGTTGTTATTAGATCCTTAACTTTCAATATTATTTTTATATTCATTGTATTTTATTCTATTTTGAGTCTTTGACACTTGATGTTACATACCTGGTATGTATTGTAGATTTGTTTTATGTATTTGATTTAAGTGGAGCAACCTTTTGGCAATCTTCTATCCACTCTATATTGGGAAATAGTGCTCCCAAGCCCAGGTTCAACTGCTATAGATAATTAAGATATTTGTAGTTAAATTATCAAAATCACACTTCTCAGTTATCAATGAACTTGCCTTTTTGTCTTCTTTATTATAGGAATCATGGGTAAAGAAGGAAGACAAGCTGCAAGAAACAGTGACTATGCAATAGCTAGATTTAAATTCCTCTCCAAATTGCTTTTTGTTCATGGTCATTTTTATTATATTAGAATAGCTACCCTTGTACAGTATTTTTTTTATAAGGTGAGTTTCATGGAGATATAGATAACCATTTACTGACAGTAATTTGAGGTTTTAATTTAAGGTATGTGATTGCCATTCAAATTATTCTTAAAAATTGTTTCTATAAGTAGAAATAACAGTTTATGGGATATACTTTGATTATTTTGTCATAAATCTAATGTGTACTACAGAAAGAAAATCAGCGGTTGCCTGAGGCCAGGGGTGCAGGTGATAGCACTGACTGGAAAGGGATATAAGAGAACTTTGCATGATAGAAAAAGCTCTCTAATTTGATTGTGGTAGTGGTTACTTGGGTGCATAAATTTGTTAGCATCAAAATTCACACTTAAAATTGATACATTTTATCCTATGCAAATTAAAACATACTTAATTTGATTTCTTGCATGTTATTTTTTCCTGAGCAAGTAATAAGTTTTAATTTAGGTCCACTACAGTGGTTTCAAGCAGAGGTTCTTCATCCTTTTTGTGGCAAAAATGACCTTTTGGTAGTCTAGTAAGATGTATAAACTACTCATTAGAGGGGTTTTATTTGCATAAAATAAGATACATTTTAGGATTACAATGAAACTAATTATGTTGAAATACCATTGTCTCTCTTAACCCTTTTTGGGAAGGTATACTTCAAGGGAACCCATGTTAGGAGCTCCTGAATACCAAGATATTTAATACAATATATAGTGTTCTATATTGCATATATTCTATAAATAATATTTATAAGCCAATGAAAGAACACAGGTAGATTGCATATTGCTAATAAGTGATGGCTACCTTATTATAGCTTTTCTATCTTCTCATAGCTTTTGCTATGATATAAGTTCAATAAAACCTTGGTTTGTGAGCATAATTCATTCCAGAAACAGGCTTGTAATCCAGAGCACTTTATCAAAGCAAATTTCAAAAACCATTGGCAGAGTTGTGATCATATGACATTCAGTATCGCATACTACTCATATTGCAAGACATTGCTCATTTATCAAGTTAGAATTTATTAGAAATATTTGCTCATCTTGCAGAACACTCGCAGACCAAGTTACTCACAATCCAAGGTTTTATACTGTATATTGAAATGGAAAGATGTTTTCATAATTCCATTTATTATTTTAAATATTTTTATTTTAAAGCTATTAAGCCCTAAGGTTTAAATGTTTATTTTATTTATTTTTGAGAGAGAGTGTGTGAGCAGGGAAGGGGCAGAGAGAGAGAGAGGGAGAGAGAATCCGAAGCAGGCTCCGTGCTGTCAGCGCAGAGCCTGATATGGGGTTGGAACTCCCAAACCGTCGAGATCATGACCTGGGACGAAATCAAGAGTCGCATGCTTAAGTGACTGAGCCACCAAGGTGCCCCATAACCCTGTAGTTTAAATAAACTGTACTTTTTGTATTATATATGAAAAGTATTGAATAATAGCTGGAAGGCTGTAAATTCAAAATTATGGCATTGTTTAGCAATAAGAGCCCAAGGGATTTTCATTCTGACATTTGAAGTACTGCTTAGAATTCTTTTAGAAATTTTAAGTAAGGGAACAAAGTTCCTATGAGTAGATCTTCTACTTACCATATCAGAAATTGTGTTCTGGACTCTTTAATAACCATTCTTAGAAATCATTTCCCTTTTAGACCCAAATATTTTAATTATTTCCATTTAATCTTGTTTTTCAGAATGTGTGCTTTATCACACCCCAATTTTTATATCAGTTCTACTGTTTGTTTTCTCAGCAAGTAAGTAAATAGAAGCTTTTGATTTATCCTTTTAGAATAAGGTGTGTGTATTCAGTTTTTGATAGTTGGAGGGACTTTTTACATTTTTCCTAGTCCTACAAATAAATAGACAAAACTTCCCTAATTAGTGTATTTGATCAGTATAAAATTGATAATATTTATTCTGATTTTCAGTTTGAAGTGAATGTTAATACCAAAATATATTTTAATTTTAGATGTTTTCTAAAAAATAAGTATTAACTCTTAACAGCTTATGAGAGAATTTTGGTAACTTTTTCAACTTACATGTAATATTTCTGTAAGCTCTATATTAAGCCATGTTAGAGTAACTATTGGGGGATTACCTCATTATTTATTTTTTGACTCACAGAGTTTTTTTGGATTGGGAAGGAAGTTTAGTGATTGAGTCCAGGAATGACATATAGACTTTATCTCAGTAATGAACTGTAAATAATTGATAGAGCCACCAGGAATGCTACTTTGAAAAGTGTTCTGAAGCTATAGGCTCAAAGAGAAACCCTGTAATCAGGTAGTAGTAGCTATAATGAGCACATGTGGGTCTTTGGTTGTACACACGTCACATATTTGCCATCTACTCTGTTTTATTTTATGGAAAATGAAATTGAAATCCACAGAAATTAAGTAACTTGCCATGATCACATAGCTACGAAGTTAATAACTAAACCATACTAGGATCTACTGCTTTTGACTAATTGAGCACCCTTTTTACATACCACATTATACATCTCTAATTAAGATATTTGTTCTAATTTATTGAAATAATAAGAGCCTGATTATCTTAGGTTTTTCTTTAGCTGTCTCTATCCTTAATCCTGTTTTTGCTTCCATTTACAACGTGTAGCTCTAAATTTCAATCTGCTTGGGCATCGATTGCCAGTAATAATGTTTGCTTACTTGAATGAATTAGAGAATGCTATAAGAGCATATGATAAGTAGACCTCATCTATTTTGATTAGGTTTTCAGGGAATTTACAGTATAATTTGAGACAGTATTAATAACAATAAAAACAATAAATGAAATGTAGGCAAAGTGCGAGGCATTTAGTACTAATAGTAGCACAGACAGCTGTTTAGAAGAGGACGTTTGATCATCAAGAACTTGAGCCAATTTTTAAAGTTTCATGGATCATACCTTAAAGGAAATGTAGGACTTAGATGGGAAGACAGAGTCATAAAAGCAAAACTGTATGTTTTCCCTACCAAAGGAATAGTAAAAAGCCTAAGATGCATGCAGGAGAATTGTGTAAAAACGACATCTCAATGACCAAGTTGTGGAGAATCTTGAAGTGTAGCTCCAATTCACTGTAATTCCAGATCACTTGACATAACAAAATGTTCCAATTCCCACAAAGAATATAAATCTAGGCATATTATGTGTTTGTGTCTATATAAGAAACAAATTGGAATTACTAAATTGGATTTTTGTGTAAATTGAGAAAGCTATATAATTTTTATGCTTATTTCTAGTAGGCTTCTTTGTGATCATATACATAACTAATACACAGTTTAGAATCTCAAAATTCCCACCAATTTCTCTTTCTAGACACTGTATGACAGCGTGTACCTGACTTTATACAATATTTGTTTTACTTCCCTACCTATACTGATATATAGTCTGTTGGAACAGCATATAGACCCTCACGTATTACAGAGCAAGCCTACCCTCTATCGGTAAGTATTTTCCGGTATTAAATGTCCATAACACTTCTGAGTATAAAAAGTGTGTTACATAGTTACCAATTTTTGAAAGCATCCTATAAATAAGCAAATATATTAGGCAGTATCTCGGTGATTAATATTTTACTAAGGAAGTAGTTTATGGTTTATAGTTATTGGATATCAAAGAAAAACTTAATAACTTTTCCAGTGTTTTTAGAAATGAACACTTTTGTACTAGGAATGCATTGGGCAGTTGTTTAATTTGCATTTACTGTTGCAAACCAGTAATACTCCATTTTATGTGCACAAAAGAAGTTATTTAGTAATTGGTTGTCTCCAGAGTTTCTAAAAAATTAGTTTATTTTCTAGCATTGACAAATTAATAAGTCATAATCAATGCAAAATGCAGGGTTGAGGACATTAATTCCTATTCCATATCTTCTGGGTTATCCCTCTTTCCCCAGAAGCAAGTAAGTAATCACAGAGATGTGGAACTATTCCTGAAGACCAGTTTATGGTTCCCAAGTTAACCTGATGTCCACTCTTACAGAGGTATTCAGTCATCCAGAAATGGCAATAACTCACTTTAATTTCCCAGGATATCTAGGACTGGGCTTGACCTAAGATTACCACAAACTGCTCTTCCTTCCAGCCTTTGGTGGATATGAAATCGATTAGGAGCCTCAATGCTGAACCAAACTCAAATGACTCCACTAAAAACAGATAGTCATAGCAGAGTGACTGTTCACAACAGAATATACTGCAGATAGATCAACTTTTAACAATTAAGCTGAATTATTATGCCTATATCATGTTTTTTTTCTAAATGAGAAAATGTTTTTAAATATATTACATGAACTATAAGCTGCTACACAGATGTGTATTATAAACAGTGATTTGTAAATTCAGGTGTATACTTTCTGCTAATTTTAAGCAATTTTAAGTTAAATATCCATCTTGTTTTTTCATTGTGAATTTGTAACAATAATTTAGTATGGAAATAATAAACATGAATCCTACCATGTTCCTTTTTCTCTCTTTTTTTTTTTTTTTTTAAATATACAGAGACATTAGTAAAAACCGTCAACTAAGCATTAAAACATTTCTTTATTGGACCATCCTGGGTTTCAGTCATGCCTTTATTTTCTTTTTTGGATCCTATTTTCTAATTGGAAAAGATATATCTCTGCTTGGAAATGGCCAGGTAAAATATATCATTTTTTAAAGAATATTTGTTAATAATTTCATTTAGTCTGATCTCTGATAACTTTCTCTCATAAAAAATAAAAGTAAAATTCAATTCAAATTATAAAATTGTAGTTATTAAGTTAAAATGCAATTGTGTAAGGATTTCGAAAGTTAAAAGCATTACACTATAGTCTTAATATGAAACTCAAGTTAGTAGGCAGTTTTGCTATTAAATTAATTCACACAAGGGGATATATCCTTGCATGCTGTTCACTTTAGGATTGTGTCTTAATAATAATTGCTGTCTATTTAGTGCTTACTATTTTGCTAAGAGTTTTACATGTTCCATCTCCATTAATTGTCACGATAATCCTATTGGAGAGATACTGTGACCTGCATTTTTCATATGAGAAATGAGGACTTGGTGTTTAGTTTTTTGCTTTTAATCATGTGAATTTTTTTTTCTTTTTTTTCTTTTTTTTTTTTTTTTTTTTGGTATGCTTAGGAAGTGGCCATTGTTACTGTGTCCTGGTTGGAGAGCTTATTTGACTTCTGGCTGAATTAGGCCTCTCTTTCTAGGCTTAGCTAAATGAGTTATGAGGAAAGGAAGTGACAGCAGTGGTACTGTGGTAAATTGGAAATGCTTGTCGCCTTTAGTTTCCCTTTTCCACTGGCAGTACTTAATTAAGCATTGCAGAATATATTTTGAGACACAGATACAAGATTCGCAATTGGGAGAATATGAAGTTTTATCTGTTTGGCAAATATTTATTAAGGACCAAGCATACTGTGTACTATACTAGGTTCTGGATATGTGAGATTAACTAAACATGCTTGGTCATGGAGCATAGAGTCGTGTGAGATACAACAAATAAGCAAATAAAATATCCAAGTGCAATGAAGGGAATGGATTTCAATTGTAGAGAGGTTTTTCTTAGCCATTCCTTTAAGATGTAGTGCAGGAACATACATACATTCACTTTTGAGGACATGTTTAGCCTGATTTGGACAAAAATATGATCTTTATTTTGTACAGTATAAAGATTACAGCACTTCCCAAATACTACCTTTTGAGTTATTTCTTTGTGCCAACTGTGTGTGGTAGCTTATTAAATTATAATAACTCTGTGAGGAAAATATCATTACTTTTTGCATATTAGAAAATTAACCTTGGAGAGGTTAAGAAATTTGCCTCAGGTCACACCATAAATAAATTACAAGAACAGAATTCAGACTCAGATCTCTGTGACTTCAAAGCCTGTGTGCTTAGCCATGATCCTAAGTTCCTTTGAGAAACAAGTATTAGCCCAGTGCCTTTGTGCACAATAGTGCCACCTGTGCAAGGACCATCAAACTTACAGATAGTATGCCCGTTGCTACCTGAAATATTAGGGTGAAAACTGGACAGAAGGTTTGAAAAGTAGACGGAACATGTCATCCATAAAAGGAAATTAATTTTTTTGTTGCTGGTTAGTACTTTGTTCCTAATTTTAAAAGTTGTATGTGTCCATTAAATTTGAAATACATAGGAAAAAATATAAAGAAAATAAATCACCAGGGCCCCTGGCTCAGTCTGTCAGAGGGTGTGCTAGTCTTGATCTTGGGGTTGTAAGTTTGAGCCCCACAGTAGGTGTAGAGGTTACTAAAATAATTGTTTTAATCTTTAAAAAAAAAAAAAGAAATCACCTGTTGTCCTTTTACCTAAGTATAATTACTTCTATGATTTTAACATGTTTTCACCCATTCCTTTTTATTTTTTGCTGTTTTCCATTAACCTCATAATTTATATCCCCCTATGTCTCAATGATAGCTTTTTTTTTTATTTTTTTTTTTAACGTTTATTTATTTTTGAGACAGAGAGAGACAGAGCATGAACAGGGGAGGGGCAGAGAGAGAGGGAGACACAGAATCTGAAACAGGCTCCAGGCTCTGAGCTGTCAGCACAGAGCCCGACGCGGGGCTCGAACTCACGGACCGTGAGATCATGACCTGAGCCGAAGTCGGACGCTTAACCGACCAAGCCACCCAGGCGCCCCAATGATAGCTTTATTATAGTTCTCCCCTTATTATAGCCTAAGTGATTTTCCATGTTATTAAAAATGCTTCAAAAATATTTTTCATGGCTACATAGTATTTTATTATATGTCAGAATTTAAGTATTCCCTTGATAATTTAAATTTGTTTCTTATGTTTAGTGACTCTTTTAAAATTAAGTTTTAAGCATGCTGTATAAAAAGATAAAATCTTAATGAAGATTTTTTTTCATTACCATGTATGAATTGTTGGTTTCCCTTTTTTTGGTAACTCAATTTGTAAATCATTAACTTCTTTCCTCTTTTAGCCTAATTGTTCTATCACTCAGATATATACCATTAGAAACTAATCTACTACTCCTTGCCACCAATACTAGGTATGGTGGGAAAGAAGCACACATTGGGATCAGGTGAAATGACTCCACAACCTGACACCTGAAGTTACCATTTGAGTGATTTTGGATGAGTTAGTTAACCTCTCTAAGACTCAGTTTCCTCACCCACAAAATTATATATAGGAGCAGAATCCCTACCTTCTAGGTTTGCAGTGAGGATTATTATATATAAAGAGCATTAGGCATAGTGGCTAGCATGTACAAGTACTCAATCAGTCTTAGCAGAGTTAGTTGTTATTTTTACCATCCAATAAGTATTTTGAAGACCCTGCCTTCCCAATCCCATCTGATCAACTTCTCCTGGAATCTCTCTCCTCTTTAAATGTGTATGTTAAACTGTCCTTGCTGACTCTCTCAGAATGTGCTCATTTTAGTTCCAAGCCACTGTTATATTTCATCTCTTGACTCTTTTTTCCCCGAAGTCTTAGAACCATCTGTTCCTTAGGGTTAAGCCCACAGACCTCTGTCCTTTTGCTCCAGCCCTCCCTTACGTCTTCCTATACTGAAAATCTTTTTAGACATCTAGCTCATGTCCCATTGTTCAACACTGGATATGTTGAATGGTTTCTGTTTTCCAGTTAGTTATTCTTGTGTGCCCAGCAAATCTACCAACAGTTGAAAGCCTGAAGTAGAAAACATTATTAAGGGGAAGTACTGGGAAGAGGAATAGCTGGAGATAAGGATGAAGTTGATGCAAATCAGTGACCCTGAGAGAGGAGCAGGAGAAAGAGTTGAAATAGTTTGGGGTCCAGGTAGAGCAGGACAGTTCAGGAGAAGTTAAGATTCCACTCCCATTTTTTGTATAAGGGTCTAGCAGTATCATGAATATTATAAGTATGAATTTTCGACAAATATTTTTGAAGTATTCACTCATTCTTTTTTTTTTTTTTTTCAACGTTTATTTATTTTTGGGACAGAGAGAGACAGAGCATGAACGGGGGAGGGGCAGAGAGAGAGGGAGACACAGAATCGGAAACAGGCTCTAGGCTCTGAGCCATCAGCCCAGAGCCTGACGCGGGGCTCGAACTCACGGAGTGCGAGATATTCACTCATTCTTAATTTCTCTTTAACTTAGGAAAGAATTACTCATTTTTCATTTTTCTCAGATCTTTTTTTTTTTTTCTTTCAACGTTTTTATTTTATTTTTGGGATAGAGAAAGACAGAACATGAACGGGGGAGGGGCAGAGAGAGAGGAAGACACAGAATCGGAAACAGGCTCCAGGCTCTGAGCCATCAGCCCAGAGCCTGACGTGGGGCTCGAACTCACGGACCGCGAGATCGTGACCTGGCTGAAGTCGGACGCTTAACCGACTGCGCCACCCAGGCGCCCTTTCTCAGATCTTTTTAACAGGACTTCCTTTCTTTAGTAAAATACAAGCACCCTGATAAAATCTTCTCTGAGATTTGGAAAGAGTAATGTATATAACATGGCTGAATGCTTGTTTGTGTGTGTGTGTCTAAAAACTGCTTTCCTGTGGGTAGATCTTTACCTTCACAGCACCATTTAAAAATGACATAGTGACTAATTTTTAATTATTTTTCTCCAAAATAGTAGAAGAATTAAATTCATGTAAAATTTGCCTAGCCTTATGCAGGCTTAAGATACTCCTAGTGCTTGGAGTTACAACCTGGAGCTTATCTTACAATGCAGTGGTATCATCACAAACATTTGTCCAGAAGTCACAGATAAGTAATTTGGTGGCTATATTGCATGGGTAATCTTTTCATTTTATTTTCAAAGCTAAAAATGAGCTTAACATAAAACTTTAAAGTATTTCTGTAATCCAACAGAATCAACTTTTTTGGTGTTTTTAAACATGCTTCATGGAAAAGCACAATCACCATTTCTTTTATGTTTAAAGAGTTTTGACAAAAGTTAAAATGGTTATAGAATATTTGTTAGAGATCTTGATGTAACTTTATGTTTCACAAAAACTTTAGTTTTATTTTTTTAAGATTTTGTTTTGATTCCAGTTAGTTAACATGCAGTGTTATATTAGTTTCTAGTGTACAATATAGTGATTCACCAGTTCCATACATCACCCAGTACTCATCACAACAAGTGCCCTCCTTAATCCCCATCATCTGTTCAGCCCATCTCCCCACTCCCCTCTCTTCTGGTAATCATCAGTTTGTCCTCTATAGTTAAGCATCCATTTCTTAATTTGTCTCCCTCTCTTTTTCCCTTTGCTTGTTTGTTTTCTTTCTTAAATTACATGTATGAGTGAAATTACAATGCTAAGCGAAATAAGTCAGTCAGATCTTAATATAACTTAACATTTTTTTAAGCCCTCCAGGGGAACCTGGCTGGCTTATTAGTCAGTAAAGCATGCAACTCTGGATCTTATTGTTGTGAGTCTGAGCCTCACGTTGGGTGTACAGGTTACTGAGAAATATAAAAAAATGAATTAAAAAAATTTTTAAGTCCTCCAAAAATAATGAAAACTGATTTCCATTAAATCATTTTTTAAAAACACCTTGAGTTGTATTTGATATACAGTAAACTGCACATATTTAAAAATAGATAATTTGATACTTTTTAGAAAGTCTTTATTTTAATTCCAGTTAGTTGACATAGTGTTCTATTAGTTTCAGGTGTGCCATACAGTGATTCAATTCCTTATGTCACCCAGTGCTCATCACAAGTGTATTCCTTAATCTTCATCACCTATTTAACCCATCCTTCTACCCACCTCCCCTCTGGTAATCATCACTTTGTTCTCTGTAATTAAGAGTCTGTTTCTTGGTTTCTCTCTCTCTCTCTCTCTCTCTCTCTCTCTCTCTCTCTCTCTCTCTTCCCTTTGCTGGTTTGTTTTGTTTCTTAAATTCCCCATGAGTGAAATCATATGGTATTTGTCTTTCCCTAACTTATTTCACTTAGCATTATACTCTCTAGCTCCATCTGTATCGTTGCAAATGACAAGATTTCATTCTCCTTTAATGGCTGAATAATATTTCATTGTGTATATATACCACCTCTTGTTTATTTTTCAATCAGTGGACACTTGGGCTGCTTCCATGCTTTGTAAGTAATGCTGCTGTAAACATAGAGATACATGTATCCATTTGAATTAGTGTTTTTGTGCTCCTTGTAAATAGCCAGTAGTGAAAATTGCTGGATTATAGGGTGGTTCTGTTTTTAACCTTTTGAGGAACCTCCATACTGTTTTCCACGGTGGCTGCACCAGTTTACATTCCCACCAACAGTGCTCAAGTGTTCTCTTCTGCACATACCCGCCAACACCTGTTGTTTCATGTGTTGTTGATTTTAGCCATTCTGATAGGTGTGAGGTGACACTTTACTGTAGTTTTGATTTGCATTTCCCTGATGGTAAGTGATGGTGAGCATCTTTTCTGGAGTCAGCCCTCAGGATGTCTTCTTTGGAGAAATGTCTGTCCATGTCTTCTGCCCAATTTTTAATTGGATTATTTGTTTTTGGGGTGTTGAGTTTTACAAGTTCTTTACATGTTTTGGATACTGACCGTTTACTGGCTTTGTCATTTGCAAGTATTTTCTCCCCTACCATAGATTGCCTTTTTGTTTTGTTGATTGTTTCCTTCATTGTGCAGAAGTTTTATTTTGATGCAGCCCCAGTAGTTTATTTTTGCATTTGTTTTTCCTTGCCTCAGGAGACACATGTAGAAAAAAAGCTCCTGAGGCTGTTGTCAAAGAAGTTCTTGACTGTGTTCTCTTCTAGGATTTTTATGGTTTCAGGTTTCACATTTAGGTCTTAATCCATTTTGAATTTATTTTTGTGTATGGTGTAAGAAAGCGGTCCAGTTTCTTTTGCATGTTGCTGTCCATTTTTCCCAACACCATTTGTTGAAGAGATAGTCTTTTTCCCATTGGATATTCTTTCCTGCTTTGTAAAAGAATGTGATACTTTTTTTTTTTTTTGCTACTTTTTTTTAACCACCTTAACATTTGTAAGAGTACAGTTCAGTATATTCATATTGTTGTACAATAAAATCGTCAGAACTTTTTCAACTTGGAAAACCAAAACTCTATAAACTACTACCCATTTCTCCCTCTTCTCAGCCCTTGGAAATCAATTCTGCTTTCTGTTTCTAAGAACATGACTATCTATGAAATCATTTTTTTTTTTTGAAAAGCTAAATAATTGGGAGGTAAACACCAATGAAGAATGTTTATTTCAGTAAAGTAAGAGGTACTAAAAACAAATGACTGTCTTTTTAAAAAAAGAAGAATTTATCTCCTCCTCTCTTGATCTCTGCAGAGTAAGTAATCTCATCTTAGAACACACTTATTCTGACAGTGTTGCTGTTTGGAATATTTTTGGAAATAGCTTGTATTGTCTTCCTATGATCTCAGCAAGGTAACTTTCTCAGGGAAAAAGCTATTTAAAATCATAGATGGGGAAGATGCTACTTAAGATTATAGATAAGAAAGAAGGTAGAAAAGCAATTCAGATTCGAAGAGTTCACCTCCAATAAAGTGGACTTCTGTAGGATGCAAAGGCAAAGGCATGTCAGCTTGGGTAAGAGTACATTAGAAGACTAAAACACTACAATGAAGGAAACAGAAAGGAGGGAATTTTAGTCATATGGTGAGAATGGAAAACCAAGATGATATAGGGAGGAAAATAATCAGGAGAAGAGTTTTAGAGGTAGCTGAGTTCCCATCATAAGCCTACGTGACATTTTGCTTGTTGGGTGGTTTCAGCCAAAGGCTTCATAAGAAAGAAGATTAAAGAAAAACAGCTCCTGTTAACTCAGGAATTCAAATACTAATACCTACTCCACTCATTCTCAATGGTCTGATATGAAAATAACAAACTAGGCAACTAGTTAAAATGAGATCTGGCCCAAATAAGGGTTTTTTTAAATTTGCTTGTTTTGGTTTTGTTCTATTGAAGTGTGCAAGAACTAAAAGGAAAATGTCTACCATTAATGATTTGTGTCCTTATGAAATTGTACCCAGTTTTAAAAACTAAAATAACAAATTACAAATATATATATAGGATTGGGAAAAAAAGGGAAAAGTTTTTAGAGTATTCTAATTCTAGTTAGACTTCTCCAGTGGAGATTTTGGAATTATCAGAACCATTCTAAAATACATTTTGTACACTATTCCACCACATTAAAAATTTAATGAGGTATAACATATTAAGGAAGAAAAAGTAATTCACCCTCATCAAACCTTCTAGGTCTGGACCATTTGCCAGATTAATTAGCAACTCAAGGTAGACTAAAGAGATGAAATTTCAGGTTGTAATTCTGAAAGAGAAAAATAAACTTTTTTATACTGTTCACTATTTTTTCTTGAAATTATAATGATTTCTCCCCTTATTTCCTATCCTTAATTAATTTCTCTTTCATGCTATACATGTCATCAGCTGTTGAAACCTAACCACCAAATGGTAAGAGCTCTGTGTTAAGACTAGAAATATGTCATTTTGTATCTGTATTCCACAGTGAATACAGTATCTTTTATTTCAACTTAAATGATTTAACCACTGTAATTACCAGTCAGGTCATTCAAGAACAAATATGCAGTTAATTCCTATAAGTAGATACAGATTTCTTTGAATAAAGCGTTTTATGATTAATACAACTTTGATTATCTAGTTCATTAAAGAATTTCCCTGTATTTCACTTATTCATGAGACAAATATTTAAAGCACTGGTAATACTCCAGGCAATTGATAGAAATTGAAATTTAGTGTACATTAGAAGAGAACAGAAAAATACACTTTGCAGGGCACCTGGGTGACTCAGTCAGTTAAGCATCCGACTTCAGCTCTCACAGTTCATGTGTTAGAGCCCTGCATTGGACTGTGTGGGTTCAAACCCCAGGACGGGGTCTGTGCTGACAGCTCAGAGCCTGGAGCCTGCTTCAGATTCTGTGTCTCCCTCTCTCTCTGACCCTCCGCTGCTTGCACTCTGTCTCTCAAAGATAAATAAACATTAAAAAAAATTTTTTTTTTAAGAAAAATATACTTCGCTTCTTATCGTATCACCCAACAATTGATCAAATGTTTAAAATCTATAATAAAGAGAGTTTGTATTGGAGAACTAAACAACTGATTAGGGAAGGTAATTCATTTATAGATCTCTGTATAGTTAAACCTAATACAAAAAGTTTTCATCTTTTGTTTATTCTTAAACCCCTTCTTGCCTAACCTGGGGCTTTACTCCTGCAATTATCTTTTCACCTTCCTTCTCATCAATCTGTCATCCTCTATTAGATCATACTAGTCACCATACAAACATGTTCTAATATTTCCCATCTTCTAATGAAAACCACAGTTCCTTGAGCTACAGATTGCGTTTGCTGTATTTTTTGTGTATTTTCAGAGCAAAATTTGAAGAAGTTATCTTTTTTTGCTGTTTCTACTTCCTGTTTCCTCTTCTCCCTTGAACATACTCCTGTGGGGCTCTTGCTCCCAGCACTCTGTCAAAACCATGTTCTTTATGGTCACCAGCCACCCCTACATTGTTAAATCCAAGAGCATTTCCCAGCCCTTATGAACTCAACCACTGGGCACAATTTACAAAGCCTTCCTACCTGTCGTTATCTTCTCTCAGCTTCTATAACTTACTTTGGCTTCTTTACTGACTATTCCTCTTCAGTCTTCTCTTCCTACCCTCAGAATCAGGGCTTCCCACCTTCTGCACTAATGATATTTTGAGCCAGATAATTTTAATTGTAGGGGTTCATCCTAGGAGTTGTAGGATGTTAAGCAGCATGCCTAGCCCCTACCCACTAGATACCAGTAGCATACTGGTAACATATCTAGCATACTAGATCCCTTTCTTACACCACACACAAAAATAAACCCAAAATGGATGAAAGACCTAAATGTGAGACAGGAAACCATCAAAACCCTAGAGGAGAAAACAGGAAACAACCTCTTTGACCTCAGCCACAGCAATTTCTTGCTCAATGCGTCTCTAAAGGCAGTGGAATTAAAAGCAAAAATGAACTATTGGGACCTCATCAAGATAAAAAGCTACTGCACCGCAAAGGAAACAATCAACAAAACTAAAAGGCAACTGACGGAATGGGAGAAGATATTTGTAAATGACATATCGGATAAAGAGTTAGTGTCCAAAAACTGTAAAGAACTTGCCAAACTCAACACCCAAAAAACAAATAATCCAATGAAGAAATGGGCAGAAGACATAAATAGACACTTTTCCAAAGACATACAGATGGCTAAAAGACACATGAAAAGATGTTCAACATTGCTCATCATCAGGGAAAGACGAATCAAAACCCCATTGAGATACCACCTCACACCAGTCAGAGTGACTAAAATTAACAACCCCGGAAACAACAGATGTGCAGATGTGGAGAAACGGGAACCCTCTTGCACTGTTAGTGGGAAGGCAAACTGGTGCAGCCACTCTGGAAAACAATGTGGAGTTTCCTCAAAAACTTAAAAATAGAATTACCCTATGAGCCTGCTCACCTACGCTGTCTCCAGAAATACAGTGTCAAGTGATCTGCCATAACCTCTGGTTGGAATGGTTTCAGAAGACAGTTGTGATTGAAGAGTTATCATTTTTATTGTGTGACATGAATAAAGTAGTCACTAATAACTATCATTCTAACTAAAAACATCCTGTGTCACACAATCTCAAAGCCATCTTTGGGTTTCTAATCTGATAATGTTACCCAAAGGATCATTTTTACATGACGGTAATAAACATAATAATGCTTTATGTTTTTTTCATAACCTTTAACCTTTAACCTTTCATAACCTGCTTTAACCTTACAAATGTAGTCACAGATTTCAAATGTACCTGGCCTACATAATGCAAGTGATTTTTAGTAAAGAATGAAGTTATGTGGCTTTTTTCTTTTTCCTTATATCTGATTTAGCATCCTATTAATACTTAATGGAGTAATGGTTCTGGTTTTTGTTTTTTTGTTTTCTGTTTAGATGTTTGGAAACTGGACATTTGGCACCTTGGTTTTCACAGTCATGGTTATTACAGTCACAGTCAAGGTATGGTGCAGAAATTAGAAACATGGACACATTTTGTATCTGTATAATTCAAAGTTAATTTTCTTTGTTTTTTTTTTTAACTGTAGGTTGATATGTTCCCCTTTTAACTTCTCCTTTTTTTAGTCATGAATAATTTCACTGATTGCTATTTTAATATTTCATTTTAATTTTTATTAAAAAACATTTAAGTTTGTTATTTTGGAAAGCCTCAGCTGATTTTTATGGTCAAATAAAGGTTAACCTCACAATATTCATCTCTGAAATTTCACTTCCCTATATATAATGTTAAATAACCCAGGTTGTTTTAGTCCATGGAGTAGAGAATAAAGTATTCAATAAATTTCAGTGCTACTTCCTCATAGAAGAAAAACATTATAAACTTGAAATTATTCAATTTCATATGGACCCTTTCATTAATATTTATCTTCTGAGGGACTTGCCATAGGAACCTTAGGCACTTAAAATTACTACATTTTATTCTTGAATTTCATCTATGAGGTTTAATTTAAGTAAGTATTATTTTGTATTAAAGATTAAAAAAAATTTTTTTTAGATGGCTTTGGAAACTCATTTTTGGACCTGGATCAACCATCTTGTTACCTGGGGATCTATTATATTCTATTTTGTATTTTCTTTGTTTTATGGAGGGATTCTCTGGTAAGTAACTATATTATATTTTAATTATATTGCTTCAACTCTATTTATTATGATAGGTTATATTATGAACAAATTCTGCTCAGAGTAATTTTGAGACCCTATTCAGTAATAAATTTGCTTCTTTCAGTTGATCTTACTGATAGGGAGAAGCAAATTTAACAATTACTGAATATATACTATGTACTAGTGGTTTTAACTTAAGATATTATTATCTCTATTCTTTCAATATGGAAACTGAAAGCCAAGATAACAAAGGTTAAGAAGTAGCAAAGCTAGGGTTTAAACCACAGTTGTTTTACTGTACACTTAGTGTTCAAATTACACTAACCATATTACCTCTAAATTATCAGTGTACATAATATAAGTCACATAGAACCATTATTTTTATGAATGAGTTAACTTCTTTTTCAAAAGTAAATAATATGCTTTGTCTTTATTGGTAAAATCAGATATTCTGTCACTCTGATAGATTGAAAATTAATGCCTCTCCTAAGATTCTTTAGTGAGTGAGAATCTAAAATCTCTCCTTTGGAGAAAATTAATGCCTCTCCTAAGACTCTTTAGTGAGTGAGAATCTAAAATCTCTCCTTTGGAGAATTACATTTGCCCGCTGTGTCTTTGATGCCAGTGTCAGGCAGAAAACTACACAAAGTAGCCAAAACATCTTGGATTAAATATTAACCTCCATTTAGGATCATACAAGGATACCCTTATTATCATCTAGAATGTTTAATTTTAATCCTCTTTATTTTTCCATTTCTTTCTGTATTTCCCCATATTCTTTTTAAGTGATCTATACAAAAATTCCAAAAAGAGTATGTCGACTATACCTATTACTATGTAGAATTTGTAATTGTGAGTGTATTTATTGTAAAATACATTTTTAGAGAAGAACTTTTAAGAAGAGCTTTTCAGCCTAGGATTTGAGTAATCAGTATTTAGTTGCTTAGTGGAAAGTATTTTGTTACATACTTTTCCTTGCTATTCTTGGTCTCATAAGTCTGTATTACTGCATAATTCTTTTGATATCCTACTGCTCAGGTAGAGTTACGTAGTCAGCTACTTGTCACCCTCCTAATAATAAAAACTATAGTTGTCATTGAAAGTAATTAAATTGGATTTCATTTTTAACAATTAAAGTCTCTCTTGTTTTATTAGATATGCAGTTAATTATACTAATTCCAAATTTTGACCATTTTCCTGGAGTAATCTTAAAATTATGATGTTCACATATAGCGGATTTACTTGATGCTTTGATTTAAGAAATTGTCTTACCAGTTTTCTACTTAAATGTTTATATTTATTTTTGAAAGAGAGAGAGAGGCAGAGTACGAACAGGGGAGGGGCAGAGAGAGAGACACACAGAATCTGAAGCAGGCTCCAGGCTCTGAGCTGTCAGAACAGAGCCTGACACAGCGTATGAACTCATGAACTATGAGATCATGACCTGAGCTGAAGTTGGATGCTTAACCAACTGAGCCACCCAGGTACCCAGTTTTCTATTTCTATTAAGCCTACCTTCTTTCTTTGCAGGCCATTTTTGGGCTCCCAGAATATGTACTTTGTATTTATTCAGCTCCTATCAAGTGGTTCTGCTTGGTTTGCCATAATACTTATGGTTGTTACATGTCTACTACTTGATATTGTGAAGAAGGTATTTGAACGACAGCTCCATCCTACAAATACTGAAAAGGCACAGGTAACCACTTTTTATATACAATACCTTTTTAATTAGAGGTCTGTAATGATGAATAGCTGTCATTATAATTTGCTTATATCACAGAATAGGAAATTATCCATTCTTGTGTCAAGTATTTCGCAAAATAAATATTATTATATGTGATATTTTTTAGTTGTTTCTTATTTCTATTAATTTTGACTCCTGACAAATTAAAATTTTCTTAAATTATACTGTTTATTAACAGAGCTCTAGATTTAAATAGAAGACTATCAATTTATGTCCAGATAAACATGATAAATACGTTTTAAATAACATTACGGCATTCTATCAGAGATCTATAATTGGGATAAATCCATGTCTTTAGATACACATTAGAATTCTAGTATCAGTTTTTCACATTACTTTGTTTTCAACAAGAGTCTGAAATAAGTTCTTTAACCTAAATAATTTTTACAGAATGGATTTTTATAAAATATATTTTCTTACTAAATGCATATTAATAAATATTAACAATGTGTTACATGGTGTTTAAGAATATAGTCTTTAGAGCCTGATAATTCTCAGTTCAGAACCCAGTTCTACCACTTGGTAGCTCCGTAACTTTAAGTCTCCCTTTCCTCATGAGTAGTAAAATTATGATAGAACTATCTATTTCATTACCTTTATAATGAGGATTAAGTGAAATAATGTTCAATAACATAGTAGATGCTCAGGAAATAATAGCTATTTAGTTGAATGTGCCATTTTGTATATTTGACTTGTACATGGTTGAGACTTTTTCTGCATATTTGCTACACACTAAGCAAATTTGGTTTAAATTTTGAAAATTTAGTTGTGTATTCAAAAATAGAATAATTGCTCCCTAAGTATGTAGTGATCTGAGGTGGGTTCCTAAATGATGTATTAGCTTTAATTTCAATTGATCATATCAACATTTCTTTAGCATTTCTTTGCTTTGGTAACTAAGTCGTAGCCAATATACATTTTAACTCCATTGAAACAGCATAGGCCTCTGAAGCCTGACAGACTTAATTCAAATACCATCTTAACCATTTATAAAATGTGTGTCCCTAATCAAGTCACATCCCTAAGCCTCAATTTCCTCCTCTGTAAAATCAGAATAATAATTACTACCTTACATGATTGTCGAGATAATGAATATAAAACACCTAACCCTGGGCCTGTACATAGTGAGTCCTCAGTAAAAGCATCACAATTATCAGGACAGTGAGGATGTTGCTCTGTGATACTAATTTCCAAATGGGGCTGGGGAAATTTGCATAATTGATTACTCTGTGCTCACATAGTTACATCAGCATGGAGAAACTTTTCTATTCTGCAGTATATTCCTTAAATATGTATCAAAAAGGTTTGTGTATCTTTTTTCTAATCTTCAGACATAAATATTTATAGTAAGAAAGTATTAAATGTATTAAGTGTGTTAAATACATTGTCTATTACACTTTTTCTAGACCTTTATGGATAACACATTTGTCTTCCCCTCTTGGCCTATATAAAGTTATATTTCACCAAAATATATTAACGACACCACTTTTAAAACTTAATTCTTTATAAAAGTAATCAGATTTATTTACATTTATCTTTAGGTACATGAGAATATGTGTATTTATAGAGATTTCTTATGATAATAAAAAGTGATATTAGTTCTTGCTACCTTTTCTATGGCCTCTTTTTAAAGGATTACATAGGAAATATTTGTCACCTATAAGTAGACCTTTACACCAGAAAAAGCTAGAAGTATTTTATATATATTTTGGTTCTTTTACCATAGGTTAAAATCGATTAAAAATGGAACGTGGGGTAAACTAAACTTATTTTAAATGGGTGTGTAATCTAGTACAATCTCCCTTTTGCACCGCTAAACTTAATTTTAAATGACTTGACCCGATGTTCTATTGAGGTCCAACCCAAAGAGGAAATGTTTACTTCCATTCAGAGATCTTCTAACCTGCTGGGGGTTTTTGTGTTTTTTTTGTTTTGTTTTGTTTTGTTTTTGCTGAAACAGTATATGGTTATTCACATCCTATGTGTGACATTATTCCTTTGCTACAAGCAGTAATCTTTATTATTTCAGACTTATACCCTTACCACTGATTTCAAATGATGAAGAAATGGTTAGAAAATTGTCAGACACTTCATTGTTTGCCAAAAGTAGCAAGAAGAAAAAAACCATAAAAAAAAAAAAAAAAGAGTTGTCAGCATTTATTTTGAGCTTTGTTTTTCTCCAGAATAACCATGTGGTATTAAGAATGAAGAATAAATTCTCTTGATTGCAGAGCCAACAACCCTACAAATGTCAGTCATGTATGTGTACCATGTATATTTCCTATTCTTGGAGGAACAGATGTCTTTACAAAGTTTGTCCTGTGTCTGTCTCTTAGGTGATGATTACAGCTCACTGACTTGTTGTATGTACCATCCCTTTTCTGTCCACTTATAGATGTACTCCAACACAGTTGCTTTAAGTGACGAGTTCATCGCACTGCAGCCATTGTCGAGGGCCAGGAATCAGCTGAGCAAACTTAGGTAGAGTAGGAGGAGTAGAACCTTGTTAACTCTTCTGCATGCTAAAGGTCAATTAAACAATATTCAAAAGATGGGCAGAGGCATGAAATAAGAGTGGGGCATTTTTGTTAGCACAGCTCTGTCTCTAATTTGACCTTTATTAATATGTATATTAAAACTTAAAATATATATCCATTTCTTCTTTGAACTGAAAATTCAGATGAAAATTCAGCATAACAGGACAGAGATCTGTACCTTGTTATCTATTGTACACCTTAACTACCTTTTATAGTACAATTCTGATGCTTCTGCTTGTCATATTATTTTCATAATTAAGGATGCTCCTGCATGTTGAGTAATTTAAGCTACAGAAATTCATCATAAAGTTTAAAGTTTTTTTAAGTTTCAGTTACTTGGAACTGAGAGTTGCCCATTTTTTATCTTGCCTTAATTTGTGCTGTAAATACATGTGTGTGTTTGTCTTTGTACACTGTAATGGCTGCTAAAACATTTCATATCCTTGCTACTGTTTAGTGCATCTATAAATTGCACAATATATTTTGTATCTCATATATATATATGAGATACATATATTTATCTCCACAGACAGATTCATTCTGTCCATTACCACAAAAATAATAATATAGATGTCTTTTTATAGAAGAGAATGAAAGTTTTAAATCCTGAAACTTTTGATAATTAAGTCACCAGAACTATTTATTAACTTTAACTCCAGTCTGATTTGAAGAGAAAAAGTAATATAACTAATAACTAAAACAAAAATTTTTTTTTTTACTTTTGGAACTTTTCAGTTTCTCGCCGTCAGTATCTTGTGTATTCTTAATATGTTTTTTTAATTGTTTTTTATTCTCAAAGTTTCTAATCTATGTTCATTTGATCAAGCAAATGGCTTTGACAAAGCAATGCTTAAGTAATGGCTTTTATAACTCTGAGTTCATAATTTTGAGCTGTTCTAAAGTTTTATCAAACTTTTTGATTTTATTTTTACTATCTTCCAGATTTTTGATATATTCTACTTTGAATTACAAAGGTGTAATAATTGTACATGAACATAAAAATGGGTGTTTAAGTGGTAGTCACCTAAATTTTATGTTTAAAACAAGAACTAAAATCAAAACAAACTTGAAGATTTGCCTTCACCTTTGGTTGAGTTAAATATGTATAACACATGTTATCCATATGTGCCTTTCTGAAAACAGTGGGTATTTATCACATTTTTGAACATCTAATTATTTAACTCTAAGGCAGTAGGAGAGCTTGTTACTTAAAAGAACACTCTGACAAACTCTTTTGTTAAGTAAAGATAAGTTTTGTTTTGTAAATAATCTTGCCATTTTTATGAAATCGTATTTTCACATATCATGTTGGCTTAAATCAAGCCATGGTTTTTTTTTGTTTGTTTTTGAGCAATAATAGACTCAAAAACAATTGGGTAAGGATATCATAAATTAGAGAGATCCCAGGTTCTGTAGCAATGCGCTAGGGTAGTCAACTTAACATTCATCTATGAAAAGAACACAGTGAGAGCAGGTATATGATCAGGTAGCCTTTGCTGCAAGCCACTCTCCAGTCAGATGGTGTAGCAAAAGGAAGAGCCCTGTTGGGAAGACAGCAGCCCTGGATGTTAGTGATGCCCTTGGCACTGCGGCTTATGTGTCCTAACCTAATTAGTTCATCTCTGAGTCTCCAGGTCCTTTACCTGTCAGATGATCATTTTATGTACTGTGGTCTGTTTACTTATTGTCAGCATCAGAAAACAAAAAGAAATACTATGCTCAACCAAAGGCCAGGCAGAAATACCAGGTGTTTAAATGAGCAGTGAGTGACCACTACGTGGGCATTTGCTCCTAGCTGCATGAAGAACAAGTGTTCATATGTATCTGTCTGCTGCTGCATCCTGTGAATTTTGAATGCATCTTGTTCTTGAACTGCATTAAATAGTTTTTCTGGGTGTGATCCATGGTAGCTTAATTGTTTACTGTTGTGACAAAAAAGTTGTGCAGATATAAAATATCTTTAAGAGCCTTCAAATCTTTAATCAAGTTAGTACTTCTTAAGAACCATTAATACGAAACTATTAACTTTTTTTAATGAAAGAAAACTCATTTTGAGTATTTTCCCATCCCTTATATTATAGCCAAAGCTATAATATTAATAATAAGGTGTCTTTACATAAGCTTATTGTACTCTTGAAACCAAGGATTTCTACTTCATTTTTTATATATGTAAGACTTTCACCGTAGCATTTTGTTTTCACAGAAATAATTATTGGTCAGTCCTAAGACTGAGAAAACACATAGAAATAAGGAAAATTTTGTTTTGTATTCATTGAGGACATCTTCTTGTAATTTAAAAAAGATTAAAATTAGCATGGCTATAGGCACATACTCCTGAGAAGAATATAGAAACAGCAAAGAATAAAAATTTGTGTAAATTAGTTAGCACTCACTAAAAAATATATATTTCAAATTAAAGATTAAATTAATTTTGTTAAAAAATTAAATCAAGCCCCCTGCCCCTTACCCACATGTCTGACATTTGAAGGCCATGTGAATGAGCCTTCTACTCTGCTGACGTTCACTTGGAGTAGAAAAGTCTTTTAAGAAGGGAGCATAAGGGTTGTGAAAGTGGGCATACATACCTTTGCAATAAGAACCCTAAATCTTGGTGACAAGGAATTTAATAGAAGGAGTTGAATTTCAGTGAAGGAAATCTGGTTTTAAATTAATTTTGTGCACTGGAAAATCATGGCTTAATTTTGTGTGCTTTGTTGTATTCCCCTAAAGAAGCTGCCATTAGCTCTCTTTTGTGACGATAAATGAATGCGGTGTTGTATGAACATTCATTTGTGCCTCATAGATTGCAGACCCCAACTTGCTGTTTTGATTCTAAACCTATTATACAGTGAGAGTATTGTTCTGTAATATGAGACTTGTTGCTTTTCTGTCCTTCCAGATGGAAGAAGATAAGGGTTCAGTCAGCTCAGCATATGAATTTGCTGAAAGCAAGCACAGAGGGGAGGACAGTAGGCACCTGCTAGCTGAGGCTTGCAGCCAGCAGGACAGTTCTTGCGTGCACTAGGTAGTACTGCGCTGGACCTGCCTGGGGACATATCCGCTAAGTTCTCATGCTTGGGGCATGCTGTGGGAGAACTGGCCTGACTCCTAGTTTTTATTTCACTAATCCTTCATTGTTCCTCATGTGTTTACTGTTTTTGTTGACTTGTCTTCCTTTTTTGTGATCTTTACATTTTTTTATGTCCATCTCTGAATATTTTACTAGTCTCTCTTTGGAGTTACAGTGTTAAATCCTACTTCACCTCAGATTCTAACCTAGTAAGGTATTCTCACAACCTATTCAATAAACTATTCCTTTTTACTTCTTTTGAAAGTATGTCATGCTATTTCTGTTATTTCTGAAATCAGTTTTCCCATTTGAAGTGGTAGTTGTGCACCATTTTATGCATCTTAATATAGTTAGACACCAGATTACTTGTCTAGGTCTGGAGTTAAATGATCAGATGAGTGAGTGCTTAGAGGTACTGAATAATTTTCTGTTGACCGATAGTCCTCAGATTCTCACTTCTTTTCATAAACTTTCCTGGTTATATCTTTGTCCTAAAAAAGTATGAATTGATGAGGACTTGATTCATTCACCTCTTGAGGAGTAAATCCTGACAACCACTTCTAGACCTAATTAGGATATGCAGAATATTTTGATTGGTAGTAATTAGTAGTTACTAATTATTATTAGTACTCACTACTAATAATTATATTTTTGCTTGGGTTATTTGCCTTTTATATATTATAATTATTGGTCAAGAAGGTACTATTGTCTCATTTGGGATAAAACCTCATAAATGGTGAAACTTTAAAACAAAGCTACTTGAAAATTATAAATCTTAACTGTACCATGGAATCAGGCCATAGAACAAGTACGTAATTTCAAAAATCTGAATTATTCTGGGAGACATATTTTTAAAGTTAGATTACTTTAGTGAACTGCTCTAAATGAAAAATGTTGATTAATTATTTCATTGTTATTATTACTATTAATTGAAAAGAAATTCAAAACAATTCTCAACTTTTGTTTTGGGATGCTCTATATAATTATTTTTGGTATATATTTATCTGGTATTCTGCTTTGATAAATATAGAAAAATTCTTAACTTTTAAAATATGCCCTGATTGAGCCACAAGGAAAACTCAGCTGACGAGGTCTCTGGGTAAAGAGGGGGAGCTGGCCTGGATTTATATTATGTCCTAGATAATCTACAAAACAGATAATCCACATGGGACCTGATTAGACTAAAACTATAAAATTATTCCTGTCCTTTGTGATAAAAGTTCCCCAAAGGTTCAAGTTCAAGTGGATATTTCATGAGACATGGATCTAGTCTGCTTTGCTTTCATATGTCCATTAAAATGTATGATACAGTTGAGAGTTGAGTTCTTAGAATGCCCTAATAACAGGGGCCTTGTTATGATTTCTTTTACAAAGGGGTGATAAGTGAGTTTTCTCATCATCCTGTGATAGTTGGTCTTTCTTCCTGTAAACAAGATGATAGAAGAACCCTGTTTCAGTGAATAAACAAGATGATAGAAGAACACAGTTTCAGTGAATATGATTTTAGTAAAATTGCTGGGGGTATTACCCTGATCTGCAATTTTTATTTTATTATTTTTTTTTTTTTTGCATATCTTTCATTGTTGAGTGAAATATACCTTGAATATTTTTCTTATATGGTTTTCTGCCTTTGGTATGTATTTTGAGATAAAAATCACTTCAAAAAAATAAGTATTATATAATATCCCTCTTCTGTTTTTTCTGCCTTGAAATAGCAGTTGTTTTCCTCTAATCAAAATTTGGTCAGCTTTGTCAGATCAGGCAGAGGATGATGCTGAGCCCTAAATGTTGTCATGGGCTAGGGCTTTCTAATCATCTCCCTCCCTTCCACTGTCACCTGCCTCCTTGGCTTCCATTGTTTTGTCATTTCTCTG